GAGTATATTGTTATTTTATGTCCAACATTTCATTTTATAATTACCTTCCTGAAATTTTCTTAAGTGCCTGGTGACAAAGCCCAATTATATTTGAAGGCAAATAAAAATGAGGCTCAAAATAGGTTGTTTTTGTTTTTAGTACTGTCTCCTCATATTATGACCATTGGCTACAGGGAACACAGCAGCAGGCCTGAGGAGGGACTTGAAAAGTAGGGTCCTGGTTCTTTTCATTAAATTTAATTTTTTTCCCCAAGCACAAAAATTTGTAAGTTTAAAACTGTACCTCATGTTGTTTCACTAATAAAAATTTAAAAAAATAGTAATTAAAAAAAATTTAATTTTTTTCTCTTTTTTTGGTTTTGGGCCACACCCAGCAGTGCTCAGGGCTTACTTCTGACTCTGTGCTCAGGGATCACTCCTGGCAGTCTCAGGGGACTATGTGGGGTGCTGAAGGATCAAACTTGGGTCTGCTGTGTACAAGGCAAGTGCTCCACCTCTCTCTGGCCAGGTCTTGCATCATCTTTTACAAAAGGCAGTTCATATTTTTGAACTCTTTGTCTTATATCTGTGGTTGTTTCTTTTTTCTTAACTAGTTCTGTTGAATCTTTAAGACAGTCAATGTTATTGGTGTGAGACTCTTAAGCATTTTTTTTTTAATTGTGGTGCTGAGGTTAAAACCAGGGTTTTCATGCATTTGAAAGGTGTGCTATCCCACTAATTCATATCCTGGTTCCATTCAAACTTCTTTTTTATTTTTCAATTGAGTCACCTTGAGATACACAGTTACAGTGTTCGTGATAGGGTTTCAACCCAAGCATTAAAACTTTTTAATGTTTTCAGACCCATAGGAAAACTGTCACCACCTGTTAATACTGTTTTTTTTCTTTTAAAAAAATTACTTTATTTTTTAATGAATCACCATGATGTGCAGTTACAGACTTACAAACTTTTGTGATAGCATTCCCATCATAAAATGATTGAGTACCCATCCCTCTATCAGTGCACATTTTCTACCACCAATGTACCCAGTATCCCTCCCGCTACCTCCATCCCATCCCCTTCACTGTCTCTCTGGCAAACACATTCCCTTTCTCTCTCTCTCTCTCTCTCTCTCTCTCTCTCTCTCTCTCTCTCTCTCTCTTTCTCTCTCTCCTTTTGGGTGTTTTGGTTTGTGATGCAGGTAGTAAGTAAATGACCAACATGTTTGGTCTGTAGTCTACTTTCAGTATGCATTTCCCATCCCGAGTGAGCCCTCCAAGCATCATTCACTTAGTGGTCTCTTCTCTATCCTAGCTGCCTTTTCCCCCGGCATGTGAGGCTGGCTTCCAAGCCGTGGAACAATCCTTCTGGCCCTTGTCTCTGTTATCCTTGGGTGTTAGTCTCCCATTCTGTTACTTTATATTCCACAACTGAATGCAGTAATTCTATATCTGTCCCTCTCTCTGACTCATTTCACTTAGCATGATACTCTCCATCTTGATCCACTTACATGCATATTTCATGATTTCATCTTTTCTAACAGCTGCATAGTATTCCATTGTGTTTATGTACCAAAGTTTCTTTAGCCAGTCATCTGTTCTTGGGCACTCGTGTTTTTTCCAGATTCTGGCTATTGTAAATAGTGCTGCAATAAACAGACAAGTGCAGATGTCATTTCTAGTATACTTTTTAAAATAAATTACTGTAGTTGCATTCTCTCTCTCTCTCTCTCTCTCTCTCTCTCTCTCTCTCTCTCTCTCTCTCTCCTCCGCCCCCACCCCTCCCCAGTAGACTTCGTGACCCATAATTTTAAGTACTTCAGATACCTCCCAGTGACAGGAAAATATTTCTGCTTGTAGCCTAAAAACACGAACATTATTACCATCTGACATGGTTCATATTCAGGCTTTCTTCGTTATGCCCAATAGGGTTGTATTTCATCTAGGTCAGTTTATTCACATATAGTTTCTGATTTTTGCCTTTCTATAGTTTCCCTCTATCTAGGGCAGGTTATTTATTTATTTATTTATTTTTAATGGAATCACCTTGAGATACAGAGTTGCAAAGTTGTTCATGATTGGGTTTCAGTTATAAAATGTTCCAACATCTGTGCCTTCACCAGTGTACATTTCCCACCGCCAATGTCCCCAGTTTCTCGCCATTCTGCCCTCCTACCCCTTTACCCCAGCCTGTCCCAGGCACTCCCCGCCCCTTACTTTCAGCACTCAGTTCTTGTCCAGAGTGATCACCTCCAACGATTATTGTCATAGTGGTCCCTTCTCTGTCCTAACTGCACTCCTTCCCCACCACTTGTGGCAAGCTTCCAGCCATGGACCAATCCTCCTGGCCCTTGTTTCCACTGTCCTTGGATATTAGTCTCATACTTTTTTTTTCATATCACAAAAATGAATGCAGTCATTCTATGTATGTCCCTCTCCTACTGACTCATTTCATTCAGTGTGATACTCTCCATGTCTATACATTTATAAGCAAATTTCATGACTTAATTTTTCCTGGTGACTGCATAGTATTTCATATTGCGCAGATGTGCCATAGTTTCTTTATCCAGTTGTTTGCTCTCACACCAATATTGGTTGTTCTTTTTTTTTTTTGATGTTTGCCAGTCTTTGTGGTCTGAGATGATATCTCATGATTATTTTGATTTGCATCTCTAATGATTAGTGATGTAGAGCATTTTTTGCATGTGCCTTTTAGTCATTTGTATTTTTTCTTTGAGGAGGTTTCTGTTCATTTCTTTCCATTTTTTGATGGGGTTGCAAAATTTTCTTGGAAAGTTCTGTCAGTGTCTTATGTATCTTTGAAATTAGCCCCTTATCAGATGGGTGTTGGGGAAATAATTTTTCCCATTCCACAGACTGTCTTTGTATCTTGATCACCGCTTATTTTGAGGTGCAGAAGCTTCTTTGTTTAATGGAGTTCCGTTTATTTATCTTTACTTCCACATGGTGCAAATGTGGGGAGAAAGGGACTCTCCTTCATTGTTGGTGGGACTGCCGACTGATCTAGCCATTTTGAAAAACAATATGGGCATTTCTCAAAAAAATAGAACTCGAGCTTCCATAGGACCCAGCAATATCATTTCTGGGAATTTACCCTGGAGGACCAAAAACGTGCAGCAGAAAAGCCGTTCACACTTCTAGATGCATCACAGCTCTATTCACAATAGCCAGAATCTGGAAACAACCAGAGTGGTCCAGGGCAGTTTTGATAGAGCCCTCGTTCTTTATGTCATGGAAATACTTGCAGGATATGTCAGTTGTCTGCAGTGACTGGCATTATAGAATCTCTTGTTTCTTGATAAGATTTTCATCAAAGAGCATTTCCAGGAAGAACACAAGTGGTATTTTGTAATCTCCTATTACATCACATTGGGGGGCTTGTAATCTCAGCCATCCTGATATGACCACTTGGTGTAAATGTGAGTGTTATGTCTTTGGAGGCACTTCTCATCCTTTGTAATGAGTACCAATCTTGGGTAAGATATTTTTAGAACAGTTGAATATCTTGTTTCCCCAAAACTGGGATTTTTGAGAGGTGGGTATGGGGTTCAGGAATCAAGCTGGAGTTGTAGATGCTATTCTATGAAAATCTTTTCTCTTTTCCTCCCTTTATTAAGAGGGGCATTAAGGATTAAGGGATTTTTTTAAAATCTGCATTATAGTCTATTACTGTCATTACTCTTTTAAATGTTTCTCACTTGGAATACAATATGTATATAGAAAGGTACAGAGATCCTAAGCGTTAGTTTAGGATTTGTCATAAAGCAATCTGTCCTGTATAATCGTTGCTTGGTTCTTGAAAGGACACTGTGAATGTTTTGAGTATGATTTTGTATCATCCAGTATGGGTTTGGTCCTGTTCATGTTTGACATTTAGTGCTCTCAATCCCTGTATTGGTTCAGTACTCGAATCTACCAGTTTATTTATTCATTCTGATTTTTATGGCTCTCTAGTTGGTTACAAGTCGTTGCCTTGAGTGGAACTGCATAAATGTTCCTGTGCATGTCTTTGGGAGCAGCAGCTGGATACAGGATGGCTGTGGAAAAGGAGTTCGCAGTATTAACTTGTGGTTTCTTTATCCAGGGAAGACTAGGGCTCTCAAGTTCTTTCTGAGTGTCTCATAAATTGTTGAGAGGATAATTGTAGATTTTATTTGTGTGAATGTTCATATTTGCAGTAGTGTTCTTCAGCCACTGGGTTCACTGCCAGTCCACATGCGTAAAAAGGCTGAGAACACTATGATCTTGTATTGTTCACTACCATATAGATCTTAGGCTACTTAGCAAGGTATCCTTGCTTGCATAATCCAGAAAGGAAATACTGTTTATTTTGCTTGAAAAATACAAATTTGGTGTATCATTGGCTTCACTTAGGATGTGGAATTAAGTTTCAACCATGTAGATATAAGTGGAGAATAACCATGTGTAAAACTCTTTTGATTTATGTAGTTTTATTGAGCAGATAAGACTTTGTCACATGAGCTCTTAAAAAATTTGTACTTCGCATGAAGAAAAAATTGTTTATTTAAACACACACAGAAATAGATAATTGGAGCTCTGTATATTCAGGATCTGTAGTCAGCTGTTTCTATCAATAGCTATAATACCATTGAAGGCTGGATTTTAAAATATGTTCTATAATCTGAGAAAGCAAAAGTAGCAAAGCAAAAGTAAATTCCTCCTTATGTTTTGATATATGCTCACTGACTCCCATATTTAAATATATAGCTGGAGCGATAGCACAGCGGGTAGGGCGTTCGCCTTACAAGCGGCCAACATGGCCGACCCGAGTTCGATTCCTCCGCCCCTCTCGGAGAGCCCGGCAAGCTACCGAGAGTATTCGATATGCCAGACACAGTAACAACAAAGTCTCCAATGGAGACGTTACTGGGCCCGCTCGAGCAAATCGATGATCAACGGGAGGGCCTTTAATTAAAAAAAAAAAATGTATATATATTATATATATATATATATATATATATGTTGTTGTTTTTTTTCCAGTAGTGGCTACGGAGGAAGTAGTTACCGCAGAATCTGTGGATGGTGCAATTCAGCAAGTAGTTAGTTCAGGGGGTCAGCAAGTCATCACAATAGTTACAGATGGAATTCAGCTTGGAAATTTGCACTCCATTCCAACCAGCGGAATAGGCCAGCCCATCATCGTAACCATGCCAGATGGACAGCAAGGTTGGTAGGAGGGATTTGTGTAAATTTTTGTTGTTGTTTTTTTTTTTTTTTCACCAGAAATTGTGATATGCCTTTCAGAGCATTTAGTTTTGCTTTAAATTACATCTTGTAGTTTTTTTTTTATTTTCCAGAAGGTTTGGGGAGGGAGTTTTGGGGACTCAGACCAAGGCACAAATTCAAGGTATATGCTTTGTTGGTAGAACTGAGACATATCTTCAGCCTTATTTTGTAACCTTTTGTAACTGACTTAGTTGTCTAATTTCCTTTTGCTAATGTTAAAATAAGCTTTTTTCCCTGAGTATATGTTGGATGGAAGGAGGAATTCACCTCAAATTATTCTAATTAGAAAATAAACTTAAATAGAGTTTTTCGTGTTCAATGCTGTTCAGATACCATACAACATGTTTAGAATGTAGAATAGCATTGAGCTGGGAGCTTTCAGGCATTGCTGGTTATGACTCCAAACCAAATAAAGTTAGGTTAAATTAAAAATACCATGTAAGAAAGGCTGTTTCCCAATGTACTCAGACTCAGGACTTGTAGTAGGAATGTGGAAGCTTTGTTGAGTGTTTGATTTTTAACAGCTTTGTTGAATTTTTTTCCCTCTTGGAAACTGCAAGAGTCTAACAAGACAGAGTAAAACTATAGCTACATTTTTAGTGAAACCAAAGTGAAAGTATAGTCCTTTTAGTGAAAGACTATAAAATTCCATATTTTAAATGATTCCCCAAACCTTTAAGACCATTGCAGTCAGGCCAAGACTGTCCTCCTGGAAATGTACCATGGCATATCAGGGACCAGGGACCACAAAGGGCTTTTACTGAAAAACATTGACGAACATACACCCACAGGAAATCAGGGTTTGAGTAGGAAGTCATACAGGAAAGACTGAATAGATGCCACTGCCGGGTGTGGCTCCACAACCAAAGTAACAGGAACGGTATTGATAATAGGCCTGAGAGAGAGCTCAGGGCCAGAATGCATCTTTTCCAGCGTGAGGTCCTGGTTTGATCTGTTGGCATCATATTTCCTCCCCCAGACCCACTCCCCTAGTCTCCCCCAAGGATATTGCCCTGGTGGTCCCTGAACAACTCTAGGAAAAGTTCTTGGGCCCTCTGAGCACTGCTTGGGAAGTCCCCAGTGGCCCCCCCCCGCACCCATCTCCCGCCCTGCCCAAAGAACGTAATTCATGCAAAGTATGTTCTTAACATGTTAGGTAGGATTAAGCTACATAATACAAAAATACCCTAGAGTTTTCCAGCCCGTGTTGAAATTAAACAATACGTTTCTATTCCATGGTTGAAATTAAACAGTACATTTCTATTCCATGGATAAAAGAGAACAAATGTTTCTCAAGAAGAATTAGAAAATAAAATGTTTGAACAGAATATTTTAGATGAGCTGCATAAACAGTGTCAAGATATTTTATATTTTGCCAAACCTGACAGTGAAGCAATGATGTGTATGTATATATTTATATTCATTTTTTCTTTTCAGTATTGACAGTTCCAGCAACGGACATTGCTGAAGAAACTGTAATAAGTGAAGAACCACCAGCTAAGAGACAATGTATCGAAATAATTGAAAACCGGGTGGAATCTGCAGAAATAGAAGTAAGGAGTCTTTTACCCGGTGTGTTTTGCAGCAGTCATCCAAAATAAATTGAATTTGCTTTGCTTTTTTTTTTTGTCATTTATATTTATTACTGACAGTGCTGTTTTGATACAGAATGAAAGCATATAGTGTTTTGTCTTATTTTGTCCATTTTTTTTTTTGCCTTATACATATAGCAAGCCCTCAATAAATAAACATTGAATGAATGAATGGATGAGTGAAGAATTTGTTTGTAACAAAGTCTGTCTTCATGGTAACATCGGAATGTCTTTGGTTCTTGTATTCCATTCTTTATTTTCTATTAAACTTACATCATTCTCACCAGTATTTAAAGGAGTTTTTGTTCTTTCAAAAATGAAATGCAAATGTCTTTTGAGCTGGACAGTCCTCTTAAAGAAGGTTAATGTTTGCTGACTGGGTTATTATTTTTTGAATGGTAGGTAGCCTCTTACTTTACTCATAAATAAGGAAATTAAATGCATTTAGATTATTACCCTCTCCCGAACAATTTAATAAATATAAACTAGTTTATAAGTGTAACTAAACCATAGGTACCTCACAAGTTCTTTTTCCTTTTCTCACATGACTATGATAAAATCACGTCATCTAAATTTGATCCTAATGTATTTAAAATGAAAACCTTAAATAACTTTGAAAGAAGAAAAGCAGTGGAAGGAACGTTGGACTTGAAATTAACTGAGCTGGGTTTGTATCCTTCCTCTTGCCTTTATTAGCTTTGAGGCAAGTTATCTTACTTGAGTTTTGATTTTAATTTTTCCTTTAAAATTTAGAAGAAACTGTATTTGTATTTGTGTGTTCTAAGAATTTAAAATATCAGCCAACTCATTACATGCTTATATGAGTAGTAAATTATTGATAAATTTAGAAATTCCTTTTAAAATTATCATATACAAATAAGAGAATTGTTTTAAAAAGCCACTAAGAGGAACATAGAAATTCTGACTAAAGACAATTAGAAAAATCCCTGACTCAAATTAATTCAAATATTAGACTTCTAGCTGTTTATAATCACAAACACCATAGTTAAAATAATCTGCTTCATATTTTAATCAGAATGTTTGGTTAAAATTATGATTATTTAGGGTGAGGCATTTTATTTTGTCAAATGAAAGAATAATATTCAGAACATTGCAGTTCGTAGTCACAAATTGACAAATCTGTTCCATTGAACAGTTTTAGTATAAATCAGTAACAAATGTGTCTTCTCATATGTCAGGTGACATATTTCTGCCATATAAGGTTAAAAAGCTATGTACTTTTAACTAAATCATAAAGTAGTAATAAAGAAATTTTAATTAATCTTAAACAACATGTAACCCAAATATTTGCTTAAAGTATAGCCTAATCTCTTTCTTAAGGACTTTAGAATGCAGGGTGCATAGTTGTAAATAATAGGAAAGTATGAATAAAGTATGAATAAATTAAAATTAAGGAGATGAAACTTTAAGAAAATAGGGTTTCAACTTGGTATAAAAAAGTGTTTTTTATTTGTTTTGTTTTTAGTAATTAGAGCTTTCTGGTAATGGAAATCTTATTCTCCATCACTAGAAATGTTCAAATCAAGGTTGAATGACTACTTAGAGATATTAAAGAGAAACCTTGAAACATACAGTAAGTATAGATGGTAGAGGTGGGATGGAGATATAGAATGAAGAAATGACCTCCAATATTTTCATCATACCAGGTAATCATTTCCTTATAATACATGAAGGATTCTTTTGAATTTATTTTCTTAGGTGACCAGGGTTATCTTGGGATGTGGCTTATACTTCTCTCTAAGTAACTGCTTGACTATTAGCCCAAAGAGTTCCCTAAAGCAGTGGTTTTCAGCTGGGGCCTGTTTGACTCCCAGGAACATTTGGCAGTGTCTGAAGACATTTTGGTTGTCACCCTAGGGACATGCCACTTGGATTTCATGGGTAGAGGCTACATTTGTTGTTAAAATCTTAAAGAGCACAGCTACCCTAAATAGAGGATAGACCCTCCCCCCCCCCCCCCCAATAAAGAGTTCTCTGGTCTAAAAATATTAATGGTGAGGTTGAGAAATTCCAAAGGAATTGACAAATTAATTCATCTATTCATATGTTTGGATTTTCTTTGAGTGTATGTATTCGTAGCTATCAGCATGCATTTCTAAGGAAGATGCTATAGTTTTCTAATTTACATTGCAGAGGTTTGTCAGTAGACCCTGGAAAGTTAGTTTGTTAAGGAAAATGTATTGTAAATAGTGTAGTCTTTGCATTTCTAAAGGTAATTAAAACTTTTTTTGGAAAGGAGGAAGAAATAAAATACCAAATTGCAATTATATATATATATATTATATATATATATATATATATATATATCATTTGGAGCCCAGAGTAAGGGGATAAGGCCTTTGCCTTGCATGCTGCCGACCCAGGTTTTGATCCTTGGCACCCCATATGTTCCCCAGAGCCCCACCAGAAGCAATCCCTGAGTACAGAGCCAGGAATAAGCCCTGAGCACTGCTGGATGTGACCCCCAAACACAAAAATAATGTATTATTTATCGCTCTTTGATTTTTTTCCCTCACTGATGTTAATTGTAGGAGAGTATGTTATTTACAGGTTTCTACAGTTAATAAACATTTTCCTGTTCTGAATTGAAGTTAAATGATCTTAATTCAGAAATATGGGTCTAGAATTAGGTGAAGTTGGAGTTATGTTGTATAATTTTCTGATTGTGTGATCTGGGTCAAGTTGAATGTTTTAAGGTTTGACTTTTCCATTAATGAAAGGTGGAAAATGAATAGCACTTATATTATCAGACATAGTAATTTTTCAAAACGAATGTACTTAAGGACTAGTGAAAAGACAGGAGTAATGATGTTTTTGCTTTATAATGGCTAAAGCAAAATGTAAGTTTTGATTACCAGAAAATTAAATACTACTAAGGGCTAGAGAGATAGCACAGGGTTTACGGTGCTTGCCTTGCACCCCACTGGCCCTGTTTCGGTTTCCCACACGACATATGATCATCCATCCCTTGAGCTCCGCTGGGTGAGTCCCAAACTGTGCCCCCTCCACCACCCCCAAAAAGAAGCTTGCTTACTTAAAGTAGTAAACATTTCATATTTTAATTGCTGTCATTTGAAACAATGCATGAATCAGTTTTAAAAATTTTAAAAAGCAAATGCAAATCTATTGCCTAACAGAGTTCTAATATTAGATTAGTAAAATTAATGAAATCTTCATTGCTATCGAATCTTAATTATTAATCAGAAATTATCTAGAAATTCTTCAATTTCATAGTGTTAAGTAAAAGTTTCAATATCTTTTAGTATTATTAGTAAGCTGAAGTATGTTTACTTAAAAATTCAGTCTTCAGTAAAGTATTTTAACAAATTAAAAATGTAAGATTGGCATTTCTATTTAAATATAGATCTCAAATGTTTCACCATTTATGTGTAAAGCTACCAAATTACTGTTTGTAGGAAGGGAAGTCTTGCATATAACATATGTTCACTTAACATTTGAAAAATTGGGCAGGGAGATAATTCACAGAACTGGAATACATACTTTGCATGCATGAACACCATGTTTGATCCTTGAGCACCACTGGCCAAAAAAAGTTAAAAAAATTGGAAACAAGAAATTGCTAAGTAAATTAAATATCATTTTCACTTTTTATGGATTTTATTTACTTTGTTAAAGTGATACAGGGAAAAGTCTTTTCCCCAAACGCCTGTAAGTGCGAGAAGTAAGAAATGAAAGCACTTAAACTTTGCTAACTATACACTGTCTTGAAGATTAAGTATATCTAAAGAGCAGTGAATGATATGTTTCTTTCAGATTTAGCCAATGAATGCATAGTGAACTGAGTCTATTTCACCTATTAGGTAGATGGAAGCTATCTTTTCATTTACTTGAAGAACTGAATTAAAAATATGCAACAAGAGAAACAGGATTAACCTGTATTCATTAGACTGGCTACCTTATGACTTGCTTTCATCTTCTAGAGGCTGGATCTGTAGCTGATTTTATTTTATTTTTTTAATTTTTTGCTTTTTGGGTTATACCCAGCAATGCTCAGGGGTTACTCCTAGCTCTACACTCAGGAATTACTCCTGGCCATGCTAGGGGGACAATATGGGATGCTGGGAATCGAACCCTGGTCGGCCGCATGCAAGGCAAACGCCCTACCCACTGTACTATCGCTCCAGCCTTGTAGCTGATTTTAAACACTTCATACTAGATATCTTAGATTTAATGTATCTAATATTTTCCATCAAATCTGGGCAAAGTTTTTAATCCATATTCAAAACTGTGGCTTCTTAAAGGGTCTTCTAACATACAAAGTCTTTCTTGTTTCTTTTTGCAGGGGAAACTATTGGGGAAGGAGGGTGGTTTTGGCCACATCCAGCTGTACTTAGGGCTTATCCCTGGCTCTGTGCTCAGGGATCACTCCTGGCAGTGCTTGGGGTACCATGTGTGATGCCAGATATCAAACTGGGTTTGGCTGCATGCACGGCAAATGCCTTAATTCCTGTTCTCTCTGGCCCTCAAATTGAACATTTAAAAGCACTGATATAGTGAGTGTGCACTGATACAATGTGAGTGTCTCTGCCAGAGGTGGGAGTCTTGCTCTTCGGGGAGCAAAACTGAACCCCAGCCCCTTCCTTGCTGTGTTCAGAGTTCTGTGTGCCCAGTCCCCACCAGGGTGCTGGTAATGATTTCTTACAGGAGGCCCGATTCATCAGTGTCCTTTCCGATTTGTCCATGTTCTGCAGTCTTAGAGTAATGACGAGAGTTTAGCATGGGTGAGCTTGCCTCAGAGATAAGAGGAACTTGTGTGTAATTGGAAAATTTTAGAGCCCGCCTTGACAGTCAGCTTCCACATCTGGTGAATCATAAGAAAAATAAGTGCTAGATCCAGTTTTATTTTTGTCTTTTCAGGCAAAGGAAGCAGTCACAGGAAGGCAGGAACGTTAATAAGGGCTCTTCCTTGTGGCCCCTGTGAATGGAGAAGGAAACCTTCTAGCACAGTGGCAGAGGCCTGATTCTGTGTCTCCCGTGGGCTGCTGATAGCTCACGTCCAGTCCCAGCTCGTTGTGCTGTGGGGTGGGAACTTGGTCTTTCTTATCACTCTCAGCCCCTGCCTCACTAAGATGTCCTGGGCCTCTGTGATGTTGTGTTTGGTCTGTACAGTTGAACGTTTTACTTATATGCTTATTAGTGAATGGAGAAGCTCCGAATCCTTTTTCTTTTGGCCACACATAGCGGTGCTTAGGAGTTCCATATGGTGCCTAGGATTGAACCCAGGGCTCCCACACATTCCAACATACACTCCATCTCTGTTTGGGTTTTAAAGCTATAATTTTTTGGGGGGAAGGGTACATACTTGGGCTACTCCCAGTATAGTGTTCAGTGGACCATGTGGTGCTGATTATTAAACAGGGCCTCTCCAGTATGCAAGGCATGTGTTACAGCCCTTTGAACCATCTTCCCAGTTTAGAATCTGGATTCTTTGAAATTTCTCTCTCTCTCTCTCTCTCTCTCTCTCTCTCTCTCTCTCTTTGGCTAGAGTGATAGCACAGCAGGTACGGCGTTCGCCTTGCATGCGGCCAGCCCGGTTGACCCGGGTTCGATTCCTCTGTCCCTCTTGGAGAGCCCAGCAAGCTACCGAGAGTATCTCGCACGCACGCACAGCAAAGCCTGGCAGGCTACCTGTGACATATTCGATATGCCAAACACAGTAACAAGTCTCACAATGTAGACATTACTGGGCCCGCTCAAGCAAATCGATGAACAGCGGGAGGACAGTGCTACAGTGCTCTTTTTTTTTTTTAACCCTAGTAAGTAGGAGTATCATAGAGCCAGAGAAAGAATATAATGTCCATGTACCAGATTTGTGTTTTGCCTCCCATTTTATTGGGGAATTCAATGCATTTTATATGTACGTAATAGACCACAGTAGAAAAATTAGTATTCTTTCCGTTTATAAAGTACTATAGGAAACACTAACATTGCCCAGTACTCTCCATTTTAGAGGGGAGGAATTTTGCTTGCTCTCATAGAGGAAGTTTGAAGAGCAGTAATGTTCAAGGTGTAATGATGTAGGGATGTAATGGAGCAACAGAGTACTGGCTCGCATGTGTGAGATCCTGGGTCTGAGGTACAAAATATTAAGTAAAATTTAAAGTAAAAATGTTAGAATTTCTTAATCCTGACTCTTACCATTGAAAAACTATATTTTCTCTGAGCATCATTGTCTTGCCTGGATGATGGGTACAAAACCTAGCTTAAGGATTTGTTATTATAGATCACTTGAAAACTCTTACAAAAGTACAGGTATCCAGTTGGGATTCATTATGTTAGTCCCTTTTTCATTAGAACTTTTTAATTTCTTTTTTTGCTGAATGTTTCAGCTGTAGTACAAGGACTTTTTATGTGTATGGTCCTAGGCCTCGTCCCTAGCTTAAAAGAAAATAATTTCCTAGGTGTCATAGTATGGATCACAGAATCGGGGTTTTCTGGTGATGTTGTTTCTCTCTTGGTTTGTTAGGATTTGGGGGGGCTGTTTGCAGACCTGTGGTGCTCAGGGCTTCCTTGCTTCTGGCTCTGAGCTCAGGCTTCACTCCTGAATGAAGTTCGGGTGAAGGGGACTTTATGGGTTTCCAGCGATCAAAACCTGGTTGGCCACGTGCAAGGCAAGTGCCTCAGCCTTCTGTACTCTCTCCAGCTCCAATGAAATAACAGGATTTGATGATTAGCGGTTCATCGGGAAGGCAGGGTGTCTTGGAGATAACTGTAGTGCCTATTTTTAGCCAGGACATTTTAAAAAAAAATTGAAGGCTGCATGTTTATACTTATTAATGTATTTATGCAAAAATTGAAGAAAAACCTTTTTTTTTAAATTAGGAAAGAGAAGCTCTTCAGAAACAGCTGGATGAAGCAAATCGAGAAGCACAAAAATACCGACAACAGCTTCTAAAGAAAGAGCAGGAAGCAGAGGCCTACAGACAGAAATTAGAAGCAATGACTCGTCTTCAGACTAATAAAGAAGCTGTTTAATTGAAGTGAACTTGTAGTTTGAGTTTACTTTTGGTCAAGAAAGAATACAATCTTGAACTGTACACAGTAATGTACAGTCATGGGGAGACAGGATTAATTGAAGAGTCTACAGATTGATAATTGGACTTAAGCCATGAGCTCTGAATTCTTGTAACATAAAACTTCAGAAGTTGTGAAATGTATTTAAAGCTGAATTCTGTAAATAGTTTCTGGGTTTTTTTTTTACAGTTCCCAATGAGTTGATAAAGATTGTTGAAGAGATCCAAAAACACAATAAGCCACTGTTTTTGTGAATTCTTTCTGATTTTAGTACAAACCTTAATTTCTCAGAAACAGAACAGTTTTAAGGGTGATCGTTGATTAGACCAAATGTTGTGTAATAATTATGTGGTGGACTGATGCTGGAATTACGCTTTTAGGTATGACCTATTTGAAGAGAAGTTCTCTTCCAGGAAATCTCTGTGCAGCTCTAAGTTGTTTCAGATTCTCTAAAAACATTTTTAGAAAGCGAACTTTTATATTTGTTCAATTTCAGCTTATACCGAAGTAGATTTACATGTATATGAAGCAAATATTTTTAAAAACTTTCTGTCTGTACATATTCTGCATGTTTTATATTTTCAAGATGCATCACTTGCATAGGTATTTTCCCTACAGAGATGATGATAATTGCAAAGGAGGGGAAAATTCCCTTTATTCATCAGAAGTGGGTAAGGTAGCAGCTGGTTTTATTGGGATGACAATGTTCTTAGTAGGAGCAGCTTATAAGAAAACTTGAATTTGCGAACTGCAAAAATCTATGCTCTTTAGAAAATTTCATAGTGGGGACATGAATCTATTCTGTGCCTTCCATCATGATTTCCACATGAAAGCACTTTAAGGCACTGGATTTCAAGATAATGTCTTTTGGAAAACTCAATGCATATGAGTTTCTGAAATATTCACGGACTCATTTCCCCCCCAGGAAATTATTCTTATGGAAAACATTGCTTTTGTATGTAGAACAAGAACCTTTTGTACCACAGTGATGCCATATTGACATGTCTTACGTACCATTTTTTTCCCTGTGTAAGCTGTATGTCTGTGCTGTGACTTGCTTTTCTCGCGATATTGTTGAATTTCACAATGTATGGACATTAAATTCTGACATACTGTTCGTTCTTTTTTGTAAAACATAACTTCAAGTCCCTTTTTCTTTGTTTTTTAAAATGTTTTACTGCTTTATGAAAATGTTTAACCGTAAGATCCCTCTAGATTACCCATACTGTATAAAGAAGCAATTACCCTTAAAACTGTACTCTGGCCTACTTTTCTATTTTACAATTAAATATCTTTTACACATATGTTCAGTGTAGACTTATGTTTTTGCTACATTTTATTCCCACGCTAAAACTTTCATTCTGTGTATTAGAATTGTATTCCTTTATATGAAAATACTGTATAATCTTTGTGTCTACACACATATATGTATGGATGTATAAATGTATATCATATAATGTATACTGGTTATTTTATATATATATATATTATATAGTCTGAAAAGTCTTTGCGGTAACTCCTTGGGAATCTGTTAGTTCTGTCACTGGAGTTATCAGTACAGTAACTGAACAGTTACTGGAATTGTCATCCTGGTAGTTGCCATTAGAAGAGCTTAAAAAAATTTTCAACAGGGAAGGCAGGGGATGTGGCTCACTCCTAGAGTGCCTGTGTGAGATGGGCTTAGCCTCCAGCTCTGCAGAAAATACCAAAGAACTGAAAGTAAGTGTGCTCCCAGACATTGGGGCAGGAGCAGTACCTGCTTCTTGCAGTGTTGAGCGGAGGTTGAGATGGAGTCAGGTTATGGGGGCTTCCTTGTCCTGGGCCTGTGCCATCTCCAGCCCCTACAGTTTGAACATTTTAAGTGTCCTGAAACTTTGGGTTTTACAAATATCAGATATTTTCAGTAGCTTGTAGCTGCTTTTTATCTGTCTGGTGTGGTTTATTTATTTATTTTTTTAGCTGCCCCTACCAGTATTCTATGCTTACTCCTGTTCAGGGATCACTTCTGGCAGGAATGGGGGACCATAGTGGTGCGGGAGCTTGAACCCACTGTGAGGCACTTAGCTGCTTATCTCTCCAGCCTGTATCTGATGAATGCAGCGTTGGGCTTCACCCTAGTGAGGCCTCTCGTTTGGCTTCCTGATCTTGTTAGCTCTCAAGAGCCTTGAGACAATGCTAAAAGCAAATTTCTGGAAGGGAATTTAATGATACCTTTGATTTCTAAGTGCCTGTACTGCTAACAGCTGTACCTGATGCTAAAAAAGAAGTTTGCAGCGAGGGGAGGGGGGCAGAGAGAGAGAGATCACTCAGCCTCTCTCCCATAAAGATTTTTTTTAAAGGATGACGAAAGAAACCCAATCATGAACAGCTTTGTAACTGTGTATCTCATGTTGATTCAATAAAATTTTTTTTTAAATAAAGGAAGAATTTTTAGTAACATTTGACATAGGGGGGAAAAAACCATAGTTTAAAGGATTATGTCAGTGATAGTGTCAGATAACCAGGGGAAGTCGACATTTTTCAGTCTGATCTTGATGTTGGCTTGTAATTGATCGTATCTACCTGATATGCTCTTTCGAAACTGATATTTAGTCAAGAATGTGTGGCTAAAACTTAAAATTAATTTCCTTTTTCTTTGTAGCTTCTCTTTTCAGACAATCAGGAAAAGCTTTTGTTCTGGCTCTTTCTGCATAAGCCTGTATTCTCTCTTGAGCACCTCTGTCTCTTCCTCTCCCCTCACTTTTGTCTAAGTAAGTATCTCTTTAAATAAGACAATTCTACTTTGGGGGAGGGGGAAGCTTTGCATTCTTAGTGACCAGCAGAGGATTAAACATGGCAGGATAAGAGAACTCATTTCACGTGTCCGACTCTGCCATGACTGATTGTAGTTAAAGGTCATCAGGTTGCCACATTGCAGGTTAATCATTACCAGTTGGGCTGAATAAGCCTTTCCTGGAGCGCCTTTTTCAATGGGCTTGGCCAGAGCATCAGGTCCCTTCACTTCAATGGGCCTATTGATATTATTTGTTGAACGGTTTAATTTCTGTTCTAGTCATCTACAAGAATACTGGGGGACTGGAGCGATAGCACAGCAGGTAGGGTGTTTGCCTTGCATGCGGCCGACCCGGATTCAATTCCCAGCATCCCATATGGTCCCCCGAGCACTGCCAGGGGTAGTTCCTGAGTGCAGAACTAGGAGCAACCCCTGAGTATCACTGGGTGTGACCCAAAAAGGAAAAAAAAAATGCTGAGTATGTACTATCTGTACACTGAACTCTGTAGATGTTCTTGTTACCCAATAACAAAGTTTAGTACTTCCCGGCGGCCAGGAATGTGTCTCAGTGATCGAGTACTTGCCTTATGTGGCGGGGCCCTGAGTTCAATACCCAGCAATACCAAAAAAAAAGAAATATAACTTCATAATCACTAAAACACTAGGAGTGCAAATTTCAGAAGGATCTGTGGTGCTTTCAGGAAGCCACATCTGACAAGTGATGTCTGCATGGACTTTCTCAATTTTCCTTTTTGTTACATATGTCTTAATTACTCCCCCCGTAGTGCTTGGTAATGTCATTTATTTTCATTGGTTTTTAGGAATTACTTCTGGCAGTCTTTTGTGATATGAGGGGCAGAGTGGTTATTTTAATGAGTTGTGATTTGTGATATAGTCACTGTCCTCCCGCTGTTCATCGATTTGCTCGAGCGGGCCCAGTAATGTCTCCATTGTTAAAATTATTACTGTGTTTGGCATATCGAATATGACACAGGGAGCTTGCCAGGCTTTGCCATGCGGGCAAGATACTCTCGGTAGCTTGCCGGGCTCTCTGAGAGGGGCAGAGGAATCAAACTCGGGTCAGCCATGTTGGCCGCTTGCCAGGCAAACATCTTACTTGCTGTGCTATCGCTCCAGCCCTGTGATTTGTGATAGCATTACTTATTTTAGGCCTACACTGCCAACTACACCACACCCACCACCAGAGAGTAGCTATTCTTTTATTCTGCTTCTGGATTGCTAATTTTTTTTTAAATATTGTAGTATTGCTATTTATTCAGCCATTGATTAGGCTGATTGAATTTGGCATGTACTCCACCTTACTTTTTTTCTCTTTTTTATAAATCTATTTATTTATTGAATCACCGTGAGAGCAGTTACAAAGCTTTTGGGTTTAAGTCTTCAGTCATACAATGATGAAACACCTGTCCCTTCACCAGTACCCATTTTCCACCACCAAAAACCCCAGTATACCCGCCATCCCACACCCTCCCCCTACCTGTGGGCAGATGATTTCCACATTATTCTCTCTCTACTTCGATTTCATTCAATATTTTGACCCCAGGCCCACCATTATTGGGATTTTACCCCAACACCAGATCTGCCGAAAAGGCAATCATAGCAATTTGTTTTCTATTGCTGGTTATGAATAACATATGATGTCACACGGCTACAGTAGTGGCTGCGTGATTTTGGAATTCTGAAATTTTAACAATTAAACCTGGAGGGATTTCTCCCAAACCTGCTGGGTTCCGAGATTTGTTCCTGAGTCTCTGGGATCATGGCCGTTAAGCAGCTTGATCAGGAGCCAGAGAGGCTGTTCGTGGGCAGCGACTCAGGGTCTTGTTGGGATGAGGAGGAAAGGGCCGGCTCCATCCCCATCCTGTGAGGCCCCATGTGTCTCATCACTGCAGGCCCAAACCTGACCGTCCAGTGGCCTCTGGAGGATCGTGGCCACCAAGCTGCCAGGGGGAACAGGCCAAGGCACGAAACCTATTCCCACCTGAGGTGGCCCGGCACCGGTTAACCTACTGTGGGGACCAGACGCATTTCTGCCAAAAGCCGCTGGGTTTTGAGATTTGCTTCTGAATCTCTGGGATCATGGCCTTTAAGCAGTTTGAACAGGAACCAGAGAGGCCTTGCCTCCAATTATATACCTGAGCTGGAGGTGATTTGTGGGTGTGTCTCCCACGTACCTAATTTTTGACCATTTGCTTTGTTGGTAAACTTGGCCCCAATTATTGGGATCTGACCAAAGGCATAGCAGCAATTTTGGGGTATCTAGAAGTCTGAAGGCACCATCAGGTTGCTGATAAACTCGCCTTACAGGTACAGATTGACCTGCTGGCGGCACCATACCCCCATGCTCAATTTTTTTATTTTAATTTTTATGATAGTGGAGGGCTGAGAGTTGAGTTTCCTTTTGTGACACTCAAAAAGACAAGGGGATAAATGTGAAATCCCATATACTTTGAGGTATACTTGATTTTAACAAAGTAGTCTATACAAATATGTTTATGTAAAACATTGCTAATATTTTTAATAAAATCATTTAAAATGTTATTAAAAATTAAAGGAAACGTGCTCATAAGAGAAATTGACAAATTGATAGGCAGACGCATTATGCTGTTATGGCCAATTGTTCTGTGTTACTCTATTGAAAGTTTTTCCTGATTTCCTAGTGCTTTAACTCCTGAGAATCCTTTTACTCGTTAAAAAATGCATGAGGAAGAAAAACCTTTTCAGATAAAATCACAAAACAGTTGTAGGAACCTTCATGTCCATATGGATAGATTCCCAAGGCATTAGCTCTCAGGCCTGTATGCAAATAGAAAAACGTCAATTCTTTTCACCTTGCTTCTGTTGAATAAATAACTCCTCCATCATGTCAGATCAATTTAGGAATGAGCTAACAGAATTGCTATTTGATTAAGCAATATTTATTGTACTTGGATTTCATTATAGATAACTAGTGTATTGTAGTCTAGATTGATGTTTGCTGTTTGCTTTCTAATAATGGATAAGAAAATATCGGTGTACATGGATTCAGTTTGACGTAAGCTTCTTGAATTCATTTTCAGATTATTTTGTACATGTAACCTCTGATGGAAAACAGTATCATCACTGGAAATGAGCTCTGGTACCAAATACAAATGTTTGGGAGGTGCCTTGGGTGATTAGTAAATTTTATTTAGCCTTCAGTTAGGCATCCCCATATGGGATCATGACACACGAGGGTTAGACCAGGCTAGGCTGTTAGCCTACAGGTGAGGTGAGCTTTAAAAATGTAAGGATTATATTGAAGGCTGGATGGATTTGAATAGATTTATTAGGCATGGGGTGCAAGGGTTGAAGGGAAAGGAGAGGTAAGAGTTATGCCTTGAACATGTAGCTTGATGGGCGGATAGATAGAAATACATGAAATTGAGATTCAAGTGGAATTGGTAGAGAAGCAAGGTTTGGAGGAAGACTTGCGTTCCTTTTTGCAAGTTTGAGAGGCTAATGAATCCTGGAAGGGGGTTTTCAGTGAGGTGGTGGGAGATAAGATTTTAGGGCTGAGATCGCTACACATTTGACATGGAGATTGGACCTCCATAGACCACATGGTAGCAAAGCCATAGAAATGACAGCTCGGGATGTGGCTCAGGTGGTAGAGCACACGTGCATTTTTGTGGTGTTCTGAGCTGAGTTCCCAGAATAACACCCTGCCCCCTTGCCCTACCCCTGCTGGCCGGGGGGGGACCCCCCTCCCCCAGCTCCGCTGGGTGTGACCTTTGACAAAAAATGCAGCGATTAGAGATGGATTAAGTCCCCTAGGGCTACCCTGAAGCATGCATTCATACCTGTGTGGGGGCAGCACGGAGATCTGGAGGCTGAGAGACCCCTCAGCATAGGGGAGCAGTAAGCCCCAAATGCCTATTGTCCAGAGGGACATGAAGACAAATAGTCTTTAAGGGCTGGAGAGTTAGGACAGTGGGTGAAGTGCTTGTTTTGCATGCAGCCAGGAATAACCCCTGAGGATCTCCAGGGTGGCCTAAAAAACCCAAGTCTATGTTAGCTTAAAAGTATTAGATCTGGGGCTGTAGTGATAGTACAGTGGGGAGGGCATTTGCCTTGCATGTGGCCATCCCAGGTTCAATCCCCTGCATCCCATATGGTCCCCCAAGCCTGCCAGGAGTAATTCCTGAGTGCAGAACCAGGAGTAGTAACCCCTGAGCACTGCCAGGTATGGCCAAATAAATAAATAAAGTATCGGATTACTTTAAAGTGTGTGTGTGTGTGTGTGTGTGTGTGTGTGTGTGTGTCTCCCAAGCAGTGCTTTGGGATCCTGGGGGCCATTCCTGGAGATACTCTGCCAATTTGTCCAGTTCAAGCAGTTCAGTGTGTGGGGGCCACACTGGCTGAAGACACTTGATGGCAGAATCAAATGTGGGTCCTAGGCCCCTATCTCCCAGACAACTTGATCACTTTTTACTTATAAGCCCAGCCTCAAGAGGGATATTTCCCTCCCCATAGTGGTTTCTGCAAGCGCACACTTGCACACAAATGTCCACCCACATTGACACAAAGGATCATATGCGCATATAGCTTGCACGCTTCTAGATGCTAAAAGCACACAAGTCTGTGGGACGTTTTAATTTTTAATTTCTGTTTTCTCACCTCTGTAATAAGCATCATAGAGTGGTGTTGGAGGGGGCTGTTGGAGGAGGGGCTGGAAGGGAGGGTTCTGCTCTTTGCAGTAAAAAAAGGAAAGTCTATCCTGACTTGGCCCCAGCTTTTTTTTGATTTGTTGTCAATTCTCACAAAAAAGTTTCAGGAGAAAGCAAATAGTGAAGCAAAATCCTTTTATTTAGGAAATCTGGGCAACGAGGAAGCGGGAAGAGGCCACCCCATGCACCAAAGGGAAGCTATGACACAACCCAAATTTCCATGCAGATGACTTGAGGAATGGAACGCGGATCCAGAAACTGAAGACCCACACTTGGAATGGAGTGAGCACCTGGACTTGGAATGGAATGTATACCCAGGGACTGTTGTTTGGAGGAGAAGGGAGTGGGGCCACACCTGGCAGTGATCTGGGCCTACTTGGCTCAGGGATCACTTTTTTTTTTCTTTCATTCTATTTTTTTTTCCTTTTAATTTTTATTGAATCACCATGAGATAGTTACAAGCTTTCATGTTTGGGTTACAGTCACACAATGATCAAACACCCATCCCTCCACCAGTGCACATTCCCCACCACCGATATCCTCGATATACCCCCCCTTTCCCACCCTCCCCCTGCCTCCATGGCACACATGATTCCCCACAATCTCTCTCTACTTTGGGGCATTATGGTTTGCAATACAGACACTGAGAGGTTATCATGTTTGGTCCTTTATCTACTTTCTGCACACATCTCCCATCCCAAGTGGTTCCTCCAGCCATCATTTCCTTAGTGATCCCTTCTCTATTCCAGCTGCCTTCTCCCCTTTGCTCATAGCTTCCAGCTATGGAGCAATCTTCCTGTCCCATGTATCTACTATCCTTAGGTGTCAGCCTCATATTATGATGTTTTATGCTCCACAAATGAGTGCAGTTAAGGGATCACTCTTGGCGGTGCTCAGGAGATCCTGTGTGGTGCTGGGAAGTAAACCTGGGCTGACTGTGTACAAGGTGAGAGCGTCTTAACCCCTGTACTATCTTCCGCCGTTTCAGTTTTTGTTTTTCACGCCCAGAAATAATGCATGCAGGAATAAAACACGTATTGCTTGCTTTTTGTAAAACTGCTTTATAGATTCTGCCCCAATCTGTCCCAACTTGGAGCTTTCTCTATAGGAGTCCAGAGATGACTCCCTGAGCACCAAGTTAGGAGCAGTCTCTGAGCACCAAACAGGGTCTGGCCCTTTGACCAGAAATAAGACTTGGAATATGGGGCTGTCTTTTCAGTCTTATGGGGGGGGGCGGGGGGTTCTACTGAAGTTTTTCCTCTCCTGAAGATGCCTTTTCCATTTGAGCTGTCAAAGGGGCTGATGAAGCAGTCGTTTAAGGTTGGATCTGGGTTTTGTTATTTTCCCAAACTCATTGCCTACTCATTGCCCTCTTGTCTGCCTGTTACTCCAGTAATAAAACCCACCTGTGTCAGACAGTAGATAATATCTGCTGCTCTGATGCCGCTGGCTCATAGAAAGGCAGGAGCAGAAAGATTCAAGTAATTGGTGCCACTTATCCTTGGCTTTGTTCTAGGAAGCTCTGTCTGTGGCCAGGGATCTTTTGTCTAGCTGCAGGGGCAGGAGGAATGGAGGCTCTTCCACGTCTCTGCTCAGAAGTGGCTACAGGCAGGGTTGCTAGGTGCAACCTGTTTATTTAGAAATGCTCTCTCTGTCTCTCTGTCTCTCTGTCTCTGGATCTGTCTCTCTGTCTCTTTCTGTCTCTCTCACACACACACACACACACACACACACACACACACACACACACACACACACACACTTTGGTTTTTGTTTCCTTGATCTTTGGATGAGGCAAAGTTATACAGTCATCCTTCCAGGCAAGGACTGTGGGGAAATAGGGGTGGAATAAATTAAGGTGAGAGGCAGGCCCTTTGTGGGGCGGGGCTCAGGGCCAAGAAGAGGGGTGTATTTAAAGAGCTCAGCCTGGCTGTCCTGAACTGCGCCTTGCACTTCCCCCAAGTTCCAACGCAGATTGCAGATTGGTGTGGGAGAAGGAGCCCGAGGTCGAGGAGATGATGGAGCCCCAGGAGTACCGAGAGAGAGGTGAGTGCAGGCCTACTTACCTGCTTCCCCGAGGCCACCGCGGCAAGAGTTTGCAGGTGGTCAACCCTGGGGGTTTTGGGGTGTCATTCCATGGGACTATTAGAATTGCTTCCGGAGAAATGGGCTGCAACATTTTTTTCTGCTCGTGGGAGGTGGGATATGAGTTGAAAAATTTTTCATATTCATCCTCCCTCTGTCATGTCCGTCATGTCATGCCTGTCTTATCATTATTCTTTTGCCTACCCAAGGAAATAGAGGGGTCGAATTCCTGTCCAGCAGAGAGGTCAAAGGGGGAAGGGGGATTCTCGGTATCCCAAAATAGAAAAGAACAAGAAATACTGGGAGAGGTCCCAGTATTCTGTAGCCACTGCAAAATCTTTTCTGAGTTTTTCCATGTGTAAGACGCGTAGTGCCCTGACTTCCGGTCACTCATTCCATCTGTGAGTATCTGATGCTCTGTATCAAGCCGGGGTGAAAACAAAGACTGATGGTTTCAGACTCCAGTCTTGTGAGAGAAGTAGACAGTCACTTACCAGGTCTTTCTCTTACGTTGTGGTCGTCGTCATTATTTTTGAAGCAAAATAGTTTTATGAAAACTTATTTAGAAAGGTGTGAGGGGAGACGTATGTAAGAGAAAACGTGAGCTTCTCCAGAGTGCATATAGGCAGACAATGATATATTAAGAGAGACAAGTCAGCATGATCTATCTTCAAGGACTTGAAGAGCAAGCCCTTTCTCCTGAGTTTTTATGCCCTCGGCCCACTGGTGGGTTGTATCGCTGAAATGCTGTCCCCTGTTAAGACTGAATTTGTCTTGCTCATCCCACCATTCAGCACTCAGCCTTTCCTCTTAGTGAGGGTCTGCTTTGCCCATTGCATCCCCGAGGCACTTTCAACTGTGAGTAGAATCCTGTCTGTCAAACACGAACTCACTTCATTCTCTCCCAGAGCAAGTGCTGGATTAGGTCCTGCACACTCTGAGCGCTGATGGGGACTGCCGCTGCCACTGAGCACCAGCATAGGGACTTGCTGTTCAGACTCACGAAGAGAACAGGGTGTGTGCCTGTGTCTGCATGGGTTTGACTGGGGGGTGTAACTTTTTTTTTCTTTTTCGAATTGAAAGAGTCACAGAGTTTATATGAAACGTGTCAGGTGTTAAGTTGGTGATCTGGTTTTGAGAAAAGAAAGAAAGGTAGCAGAAGCATAGAATTCATACCAAATCTCCCAGGTGGAAAATTAAGAGGTGGGTCACTGGTGAAGGGATGGGTGTTTGATGATTATATAACCAAAGCTCAAACATGAAAGCCTTGTAACTACAGCTCATGGTGAATCAATAAAAGAAGGGGAAAATAACAATAAAGTAAATAATAAAATAAAATGAACATTCTGAATAAAAAAAAGTAATGTGGAGTCCATGCCCAATTCAATCAGCTTAATCAATGACTGAATAAATAGCAGCACTCCTGTAGCTATGAAGCACTGTTCTGTAGCGCTGTTCTCCCATTGTTCGTCGATTTGCTTGAGCGGACACCAGTCACGTCTCACAACAAATTGTGAGACTTGTTGTTTCTGTTTTTGGCATACAAATATGTCATGGGGAGCTTGTCAGGCTTTGCTGTGCGGGCAAGATACTCTCGGTAGCTTGCTGGGCTCTCCGAGAAGGGCAGAGGAGTCAAACCCAGGTCGGCTGTGTACAAGGCAAACGCCCTACCTGCTGTGCTATTGCTACAGCCTGGAAGTACTCCTACATTTTATATATATATATATATATATATATATATATATATATATTTTTAATAGTTTTTTTGAGAAAAGAAAGACAAGCCTAACAATCAGACTGCTACAAATCAGGGAAGAGGGAAGAAGAAGAAATGCATTGGACTGGCATTAGGGTTTCTGTTTGGAGATTTTTTTCAACTGGTGGATGGTCTCACTAGCCCACCACCATGTCCATCGTTCACACTTGTGCCCTCCTGCATTTTTTAAATTCTGAAGAGGAGGTTTACATTGGGGGTGATCTTCCCTCACCCCCTCCCCACCTCCCCAGCAGCCAGTAATCTCATCTCCTTCTCCAAATCTCTTGGCTCCAACCCCTGGGGGTGGGGCATGAATTGGGCAGACCCGAGGGACCTAGGGCATCTTTCTCTCCCCCTGCAGGGAAGCAGATGGTGGACTACATATGCCAGTACCTGAGCACCGTGCGGGAGCGCCGGGTCACCCCGGACGTGCAGCCTGGCTACTTGCGAGCCCAGATGCCTGAGAGCGCACCTGAGGAGCCTGACAGCTGGGACAGCATCTTTGGGGACATAGAGCGAATCATTATGCCTGGGGTGAGATACGGGGTGACTACGGGTCTGGGGGTACGGCAGGGTGGGACTCAGCCTAAAGAAAGCTCAGGGGTGCTTATTCAGTCTCTTGGTCAACAAGTGCAGGGGCCAGAGAGAGAAAATACAGTGGACAGGGCACTTGTCTTGGGTGTGGGGCTGATCATACGTTCAGTCCCTGGTATGGTCCAATCCCATATCATCCCCTGAGCACTGCCGGGGGGTCCCTTCTAAATAGAGAACTAAGAGCACTGCTTTTGAGCAATGCTGGTATAGGACCCCCCCCCCCCCCATAAGAGTGCAGGGTCCTTGCCACCAAGGTCAGCCTTTCGTTATTCCCCAGGCCCTGGGTCAGTCGCCGTGCCAGGGATACGACAATCCCTGGGATGTGCATGAGAAAACTGAGGCTCAGAGAAGTTTATTGTCTTTCCAAAGTCATAGGATTTGTGCCTGGTGTAGTCCGGCTTTTCACCTCCTCCAGTCTGACACACAAGGTGCTTCTTCCTCCTCCACTGCCAGCTGCCTCTGTGGTAGAGTAAGGAACTGAGTGACCCAGACTGAGCACCCACTTCCTGTTGCATCCCTAAACATCGGCTTTTCTCACTTTCTCTGCTGGGGGCATCAGTGCCCTGAACTCCAGGGGCATTTTCCCGAGGCTGATGTTAGATTTCCTCCCATCCTCCCCAGGGAGCTTTGAACTTAGACATGACAAAAATATTCCTGGAGGGAGGTGTTAGCTATTCAGCCGCTAAAGGTGATGGCGAGTTGAGGTCGTGGAAAGGCAAAGATTCAGTCCTCTTTGGTCACTCCATTTCACCAAGGTCTTTTTTTTTTTAAATTTCCATATCAGTAAAGCTTTACCCAGAAGGCTCCTTTTTCCGGTAAGATTATCTCAAGGATTTTTTTCTGTTAGATGTGTTCTGCTGAGGCCCCAAATGTAACTGGCTAGCGATACAGAATGCAACTGTCAGGGGAGGAGGAAATGAGCTGATGCGTTTGATTGAGAGAAATTCTAGCAGTTACTGTGTGAGTCAGGAGATGCATTTCTGGTTTTCAGACCATACTTGGCAGTGCTGGGGGCCGCTCCCCACTCAGAGCTATCCCGGGTATCTGGGGGAACCAACCAGACGGTACCAGGGAATGAACAGCATGTGCTCCAGCCCATTGAACTATCTCCTTGTCCCAAAGTTTGTGTGTTAGGGGTACAGTGTTTCCACACTGGGCCTACCGCCAATGTGCCAGTATCCCTCCCCCATAGTCCCCAGGACCCTTTCAGCCCATTCCCCACCCATTGCCCGCCCCCCCCCCCCCCCCGCCCTCCCCAACCCTAAGAGACTCATTCCTTGATGGCGAGCTTTGTCTGTTTTGATAAGCTTCTTCGGGCATATCTAATCTCGTTTATCTGAGGAGGAGGAGGAAGTCTTTCTCTGAGGTTCCCCAAGTTATTATCATGAAGCACATCGATATCTGGGGCCAGATCCCAGCTTGCAGGCTGCACACTGTTGGGCCTCTGTGAGCCCTGGCTTTCTCACAGTGGCCAGCACCTTGCTGTGAGTGAGGACTGACCATTCCTCCCACCACCCCCCAGACTCCAAGAATAACCATCTTTCCGCTTTAATTCCAACCCTGATTAAAGACACCTCAGCTCGTCCCCATGAGGGCAAAGAGAGTCACAAGGGAGGATTTGGGGAAAGAATGGTGGGCTGGGGGGATGTTTCTACCAGTCTCCGAGGAGCCTCAGAGGTGCAAGGCTCTGGGGGTCCTTCTGGATGCTGCTTCTTTTCGCCCATCTGAGCTCTGAGTTCTCGGAGATGCTCCCTCTCTCTTGGGCCACCCGGGCTCTCATCTGGAAAACCGGGGTCCTGGGAGAAGTGACAAAGCCTGCAAATGAAAGATGTGGTTCTTAGTGGCATTGCCTTTCTCCTGGTGAAAAATCAGAGGAAGATCTCCCAGTTGATTTCTGTGGAGATTGTTACCATGTGTCCACTTTGCCATCGTTAACTGCTTTGTGTTTTAACGATTTTCTCCAGGGTCAGTTCATAATACATCACCCCTCAGAGACAGGATTTATTTTAGGATCAGGAACCGATGCCCTGGAGATGTTACAGGGGAAGATACTAAGAGGTTGAGATCCCTTTAAGAAAATAAAATGAAAATTGGGTCTCGAGGGTCAGGGAGATGGCTCAAAGGGCTGAACCATGCCGCTTATAGGAGTCCTGGGCACTGTATGGTTCCAGTCCTTGCCGCTGCCATCACTCCCTGCAGCCTCAGCTTAGCTAGGAGTGACTTGTGACTCCCTCTCCTCCCTCTACCCCTCAACAAGAACAAAAAACACTCCAGGGCCGGGAGTGTGGCTCAGTGGAGGAGCACATGCCTTGTGTGTGGAGGGTCTGTGTTTGATACTGGCATCGCAAAAGAAAAGGGAAAGCAAGCAGGCAAATGAAGAATGGATCCAAAAGAAACGCATGCAGATGTAGGAAGTTGGAGCTTAAGTCACCTGGTTAACTTCACAAGGTCGATTTGCAAGTTCACATAAGTGGAGAGGGGCAGAGGTGGGTAACGTGGGTTCCAATCTTATGCTCCTCTCATGGTTTGTGCTGTGTCGGATACTTCTGCTCTTGCTGCTGAAGGATTAAAGGAGCTTGTGCACGCTATCGAACTAATTGATACCCGAAGCTATTACTCCATGAGTTCTCAAGCATCTTCTTGAGATCAAGGATAGACCTAAGGGACCAATTGATATAAGAAGTTCCTTCCGGCTGGGGATTATTTGTTCAAAGACACACACTCAGACTCACACAGGATGTGTTTGCAGAGCACTATGATGAAGCCAGGCTAGATAATCAGTGCAGCTGATGAGCCCTTGAGGATGCTGATTTGTTGTAAGGGAGTGCTCCCTGCCCCTTGCATTCTCCTTACCTCCGGTTTCATCTGATTGTGGGTTCAGGGAATAGCCTGGAGCAGGGGTCCCATGCTCTCGGGCATTTCTGCCCTTTCCAATCTCCATGCCAACTGGGAAGCTAAGATCTTCTTATTTTTTCCCTGTTGGTGGCAGGAATTGAACCCGAGTCCTCCCATGCAAGGCAAGTACTCTGTCACTGAGTCACTGGGACACCCTGCAGAGGGGACCCTAGTGCCACTCCTAGTGATATGTGGCTCTGATGGGTGGACTTGATGACCACCAGGGATTACAGCTGGTGGTGCAGAGGGTAGGGGGAGACACACGTGCAGTGTTGAGGATTGAACTCAGGACCTCACATAGGCAAGGCATTTCTTGAACCTTGAGTGGGGGCTGTATCGCCCTGCCTCCGGAGCAGTGTCTCTGGCCCCTAAGGACAGCTTCAGCCCCTTCACACCGACCTTCCGGCACCTACAGAGCTCTTCTTAGGACAAAGGAAGCTTTGTGCAAGAAACTGGATTAGACCAGCAGCCCACTCTCCTGGGCCTTACTTTCCCTTTCCTTTCATTCAAGGGCAGAACCAGGGTGGAGGAAAGACAGCGGAGACTAACACCGGTCCCAGCGGAACCCACAGCCCTCCCCACTATGGCAGTTTCATTTTGTGGGCTGTGGGTTCCACGGCTCCACTGAGGAGTGAGCTGGGACTATGGGAAATGTGGCAAGAACACCAGGGCGATGTCTTATTTTCATGGAGTTGTGTCCTTAGTTTGTTATTAAAAAATGTGAGTTCCGGAATTAGAGAGACAGGGTAGCAGGTAAGGCCTTGCACGTGTCTGACCTGTGTTTGCACCCCCACCCCCACCCCAGCCTCCAACTCATATGGTCCCCTGAGAACATAGCCAGCAGTAAGCCCTCAGCACAGCCAAGTATGGTCCCAAACCAAAAACAATTACATAAATGAAATTCAAGTGAGTTCATCTCTGGAGGGGCTGCTGGCTTTGCCAGTAGGAGTCTCTGGAGGCCAAATGTCTCCTGGACGTGGCCCCCCAGGTCACTGTGCGCCTGATTTGCCTGTAGGTGGTCCACTGGCAGAGCCCACACATGCACGCCTACTTCCCAGCTCTCAACTCTTGGCCTTCGCTGTTGGGGGATATGCTGGCGGATGCCATCAACTGCTTGGGGTTCACTTGGGTAAGTCGCGTTGGTTGCAGGCCCGGTGGGCATGGGAACAGCAGAAAGAAAATGATATTTGGGGGACAAAGGGGTTTTGTCCTGGTCTTTGAGCTGGTTCCAAATGAAATATTAGCAATTACTCTTTTCCTTGAGTTGAACCTTACTCTATCAGTTTTCATATGAATGATCTTATTCTTTATCCCTATGCAGTCATGAATATTGAGCATGATTTGCAGGTGAAAAATACAGGCTTAAGTAGTTTATCTCACTGAAGCCATGTAGCTAGCAGCAGGTAGGGCATTGCATGGCAGGTAGCGGACCTGGGTTTGATCCCTGGCATCCTGTATGGTCCCCCAAGTACTGCCAGGAGTAATTCCTGAGTGCAGAACCAGGAGTAACCCGTGAGCATTGCGGGATGAGACCCAAAGAGAGAAAACAAAACAAAAAACAATCACCCCCCAAAACAAACAAACAAACATACAAAAACCAGAAAAAAATAAACAGAGATAAGATTTGGACCGAGGTCTGGGTACTGCAGCAAGGTGTGCAGTGGTGCTGCTGGGCTCAGCATCTTCCATGCTCTTGCCTTCAAGGAGTTAGGAAGAAGCCCATCATTAGGTAATGCCTCAATCAAGCATCAGCTTTAGTGTCAAACGCTTCCCGGAACATCTTTTACAGTTTAAGCCTGAACTAGCGTAGGACGCAAAGAGGAAGCACGTGGCGCCTTTCCCAGGAAGGAGAGGTTTATTTCTTAGTCCTAAAACTTCCTTCTAGTCCTCCAGAGTGCTTCCTCCAGCTGTGCATTTTAAGCACTAGGGGAGCCAAACAGGAGGAACTCCTTTCTCTTGTTTGTTACAAAAGCCATCTCGGGGGTCAGAGAGCAACCAACCCACGTCAGGGAGGATGGCAGGACTCCCGAGCCGCACCATTCTCACCCCCTTGCCTTAGGTACCCCATAGGCCACAGAGTTGGCCCAGGGACCTTGGTTCTCTTGGGATGGGCCGCAGGGCTGACACTGGGACCTTCCAGGCCAGGGGAGGCCAGGGCAGGGGCTGCTGAGGGTCTGGGGCTGGTGAGGCCTGTGAGCGGATGAAATAGCCTTGCTCTATTTCAGGCTTCCAGCCCTGCGTGCACGGAGCTGGAGATGAACGTCATGGACTGGCTGGCCAAAATGCTGGGGCTCCCCGAGCACTTCCTGCACCACCACCCCGGCAGCCAGGGGGGCGGCGTGCTACAGGTGCTGGCATTGACACTTCGCCCTCTGGCGGGAGGAGGGAGGAACGACACGTGAGAAGAACCCACAGACCGGGGGGTGGGATTCTTGGCCCCGCGCAGCTTTCCCCACCCATGCCACTCACACCACTTAGGTCACGGTCGCCACTGCCTCCATCACCGGTGTCCTGACCGACACCACCGCGCCTTCACACCCCATCACTTCCTAAGCTAGCGACCCTTGCTGCCCCTCCCAACTTCACTTTCACTGTGCTCATCTCCCCTTTTCTTTGCAACAGGACGAAAAGGTCCAAGCGTGATCGCATCTCCAGCGTTGCTGGATTCAGGTTTCTCCACTTAGATCTGCTCCTCCCAGACCCCCGCTGACAACTTTTTCTAACCTCTTGGTTCTAGGAGATTCTTGGCTAGGATAGCAATGGCCAAGCCAAACAGCTATCTTATCCTATAATCCTTTTTTAATAGCTGTCAAATGAAGGTCCTTCAATTGTTTGAGGGTTTTTTTTTCCACACCAGGAAGTTCTTAGGGCTTTTTCCTGGCTCTGTGCTCTGGGATCATTCCTGACAGAGTGATGAATCCTCGTGATTGAATGCTAGTCAGCTGCATGGAAGGCACTTACCTTACCCACTGTATTATTTCTCTGGCCCTCAAACATTTGTTTTTTCCTATGTAGAGGATTGTAGCTCAGTGGAGCTGTGGGTGCCTTCCCATGTTGAGTGAGAGGGGCTATTGCATCTTAAACCCTTGAAATCTGTAAGGATTTGGTTCTGATGCCTTTTAGAGACCCTAAATTCTTTTTTTAAAATTTATTTATTAATAAACAAATAAATACCGTGAGCACAGTTACAAAACTTTTGTGTTTGAGTCTCGGTCATAGAATGATCAAATACCCATCCCTTCACCAGTGCACATTTTTCACCACCAACAACCCTCATCCTACCCCTACCCCTGCGTGTGTGGCATATAATTTCCACATTACTATCTCTACTTTGATTACGTTCAATATTTTCACACCAGTCCCAACACTATTATTTGGAATTTCCCCCCAACACTCAGACCCACCAAAGGGGCAACATTAGACAATTTGTTTTATATCGCTGGTTATGAATAGCATATGATGTCTCGGCCTCGAGCGGCCACATGATCTTGGAATTCTAAAATTTTAATAATTAGGTCTGGAGAGATTTCTACCAAGAGCTGCTTGGTTCTGAGATTCGTTTGTGTAGAGACCCTAAGTTCTTAAATCCCACGGTAATGTATACTTTTGTCGTTTCCACAATGTATAAGACAAGGATAATCTATAAGACAGATCACAGTCACAGTCACAGTCCTCCCGTTGTTCATCGATTTGCTCCAGCGGGCCCAGTAACATCTCCATCATGAGACTTGTTGTTACTGTGTTTGGCATATTGAATACGTCACGGGTAGCTTGCCAGGCTCTGCCGTGCGGGTGAAATACTCTCAGTAGCTTGCCGAGCTCTCTGAGAGGGGCGGAGGAATCGAACTCAGGTTGGCCATGTTGGCCGCTTGTAAGGCAAACGCCCTACCGCTGTGCTATCGCTCCAGTCCATAAGACAGATAATCTGTAAAATATTTTTTTCAAGGTGCATATGAAGATCCAGTGAATTATTCTATTTTTATTATTCTATTTAATTATTCTATTTTAAAAAACAAAAACAGTCGCATTGTCCATGAACTAGAAAGTTTGCTAAGCCACTTTTTTGCTTAACCACTTTTCTCACTCCAGGCTTGTAGCAATACTAAAATCTGAACCTCACAAAGAGCTATGGCTACACATATGCTGGCCCTTTGGGTTGTTTGTTAAGAGTTACAATTTCAAATATTACATCTGGGAGTGCATGCCAAAATGTCTGTGGTTGTGATCTTACTTCCATCTAATTATGTTAGGAACCATTAGGTAAAGAGCATTGTTCACAGTTTTTGGATTAAATGCACCGAAGCAGAGAGTGGTTAGAAGTTTGCCTTCAGCTTACACAGCAGGGATGTTGAAGAAAGAGGATTTAAGTGCAGTTCTTCCTCTAGTGTTCACCAGTCATATGAACTTGGACTGAGTCCTTAGCCCCCTCCCCATTTTTTGCTGGGGGTAGGGGATGCTCAAGCATCACTAATGGTGGTGATGGGTGAACCATATACGGTGCTGGGGATTCTCTCTCTCTCTCTCTCTCTCTCTCTCTCTCTCTCTCTCTCTCTCTCTCTCTCTCTCTCTCTGTGTTTGTGTAAGGCAAGCTCCCAAACCACTGTGCTACCTCGTTGGTCCCCACCTCCAACCCATCCTTAACCTTTCTGAACATCCCGATCCTCATCTATAGACAAAACTTACAAGTAGGTTGGAGAGGCTTTCTGATGAGCAGGTGGCATGGCAGAGATCTGTAAACTGTGACCTGTTATACAGATGAAGCTGGTATTACTATTACCAACCTTCTGCCGTCTTTGTGTGGAGTAATTAACAACTGCTTAAGATCTTGTAGGATCAGGTCTGTATCATCCTTTGCAACAATGTTCCCCAGGCTTAAAATTAATTGTCTATCTATATTATTTTATTATTTTTTTTTGTGTGTGTAGGGTTAGGAGTCTAGCCCTGGGCTTCCTGTATGCAAGGCATAGTTACTGCTGAGCTTCCTCTCCAGCCCCTGTCAGGCATTTAGTGGGGAAACTACCAGCCACCAGTTCTCTGAAGAAATAAAAAATTGGCCTGAGTGAATGATGACAACCCAAGATGCTTGTGAACTGCCTCCATGATTTCCATAGATAGGATCCAAGCAATTTTCCTGCTCTTTTTGGGCAACCCTACCCCACTCTGAGAGGCAGGTGAAGGAATGAGCTCCACTTACAAATGGAAAAAGAAGCTTCTGGAAGGGCAGCGTTATGTGAAAGGCTTGTGACTTAGGACTTAGTCTTCTTCTTTTTTTTCTTTCTTCTTTTTGGGTCACACCCGGCAATGCACAGGGGTTACTCCTAGCTCATACACTCAGGAATTACTCCTGGTGGTGCTCGGGGGACCATATGGGATGCTGGGAATCGAACCCTGGTCGGCCTTGTTCAAGGCAAATGCCCTACCCGCTGTGCTATTGCTCCAGCCCCCAGGATTCAGTCTTGATGCCAGTGGCTCTCATAACCTGAGGCTAGTAGTTCACTCTTTTCTCTATCCATTGCATGGACACTAACTCCATTTCCTGTCTTAAGAATCCTGGAGTGCTTTCTCTAAAGCTTGTTTCCCTGGGGGAGCAAACATATCTCTGAACAATCTCTGAACAAACTTGTAACTAGCAGAGGTTGAACATTATCTTTCTCTTCTTTCTTTCTTTCTTTCTTTCTTTCTTTCTTTCTTTCTTTCTTTCTTTCTTTCACTCTCCCTCCCTCCCTCCCTCCCTCCCTCCCTCCCTCCCTCCCTCCCTCCCTTCCTTCCTTCCTTCCTTCCTTCCTTCCTTCCTTCCTTTCTTGCTATCATCCTCTCTGCTGGTGAATATTTGCTTTCTTGACTTTTCTGGAAAATTCAAGAGGTGCCAAGGCATGCAGAGGACAATGAGGAAGAAACTAGAAGAGGTATATGGGTTGGAGAGAAAGCACAACTCCTGTAGCAAGAACTGTGTGCTTCCCATAGAATAGATATTGAATATAAACGTGCATGTCCACATGCATGCTTAAATGCATGCACACACATGCACATGTATGCTCACACATGCACACACATATGCTCTCACATATAGTCTCACATATGCACACACACTCTTGCATGTTCAACATTCTCCTGCATTCACACACATGCACACATACATGCATATAAATACATACAAACATGCACAAACACTCCCACACATGCACACACATTCACAACACCCTCATGCATGCACATGCTCACGTGGACACACACCATCATATATGCACAAAAATGGTCTCTCATATGAACATACATGCTGACTCATCCACACATGCATACGTGTACACATATGGCACTCTGCACCTATGCAACCTGGAGGCATTTGGCCACAGAACACTGAAAGAGGTGGCCATTGGCCATTCTTCTCCCACTACAGAGCACGGTCAGCGAGTCCACCTTGATTGCCTTGCTGGCAGCAAGGAAGAACAAAATCCTGCAAATGAAAACCTCAGAGCCTGGTGCGGACGAGTCCTCCCTGAATGGCCGGCTTGTTGCCTATACCTCCGACCAGGTGAGCTGCGCCCCTCACCCAAACTTACAGGTCAGTCAGCTTCAGGGCCTGCAGCCTGGAGTCGTTTTCCTGCAAGCAGGTGAGGCTCAGGCAATGCCCAGGAGCCCGAGAGGGGAACTCCACCGACAAATATTGGGGGTGATTCTCTCAGGCTGGCCTCCCCCTCGCCTCCTGAAGGAACATGTTAAGTGGTTTCTATGCGACTCCATAGGCTCACTCCTCCGTGGAAAAGGCTGGATTGATTTCGCTTGTGAAGATGAGGTTTCTGCCTGTGGATGACAACTTCTCACTCCGAGGAGAGACTCTGCAGAGGGCCATAGAGGAAGACAGGGAGAGAGGCTTGGTGCCCGTCTTTGTAAGTCAGACTGTGTATTCTGTGCCTGGTGGGGAACTGGGCACTTGGGTGGGATGCAGATATGTGCCAAGTTGCAGAGAGGAGCAGAAAGGCTCTTGGGTATAATAAACACAGTGCAGGCTGATCTACAAGGGAGAAAAGAAAGTTGACGTGTCTCCACCAACACTAGAAGAAGAAGAAGAATTAGTGTGCCAGGGATGTGACTCTATGGTAAAACACTTGCTTTGCAAGTGTGAGGACCTGAGTTCGATCCCCGTTCTGCTGAGTTCTTTCTGTAGCTGCTGTTCTCTCTGTTTTTTGTTTTGTTTTTGTTTTTGTTTTTTTTTTTTTTTGGTCACACTTGGCAATGCACAGGGGTTACTCCTGGCTCTGAACTCAGGAATGACTCCTGACGGTGCTCAGGGGACTATATGGGATGCTGGGAATGGAACCCGGGTCGGCCGCATGCAAGGCAAACGCCCTACCCGCTGTGCTATTGCTCCAGCCCTGCTGTTCTCTCTCTACCTCCCCTCCCTTGGTTTAGAGTGAGGAAATGCCCTGGAATGCAAGTTGGAGGTGGCTCCCACACAAAGCAAAAACAGGGGGCTGGAGTGATAACACAGTAGGTAGGGCATTTGCCTTGCACGTGGCCAACTCGAATTTGATTCCCAGCATCCCATATGGTCCCCCAAGCACCGCCAGGAGTGATTCCAGGAGTGCAGAGCCAGGAGTAACCCCCTAAGCACTGCCAGGTGTGACCCAAAAAGCAACAACAACAACAACAACAACAACAACAACAGCAAAACTACAAAAATGAAGCAAAAACAGAACAAAAATAAGGACAAAATAGAAAATATTGGAGTGTGTTGCTGTACCCAGAGTATATATTGTTTGGCACAACGTTTTTATTTTGGAGGTGAAGGCCTTTCAAACAGTGCTCAGGGGCTGGCGACCCCTCCAGGTAATGCTCAGTCGATTGGAGGCTCAGTCCAGATGTGCTGCTGCTCGGGCTTTCTGGGGATCCCCTCAGCCACTCCAGTAGTGTTCAGGGACCACAGGGACCACATCCTGTGATGTTGGGGGGCCATAAGATGTTAGAAATGAAATTTGAGTCATCAGGCACCCCAGCCCCCATGCTCTCTTCCTGGCCCTGGTTTAGTAAAGATTTTTTTCCTTTTTGGGTCACACCCGGCGATGCACAGGGGTTACTCCTGGCTCTGCACTCAGGAATCACTCCTGGCGGTGCTCAGGGGACCATCTGGGATGCTGGAAATCGAACCCAGGTTGGCTGCGTGCAAGGCAAACGCCCTACCCGCTGTGCTATTGCTCCAGTCCCTAGTAAAGTTTTTTTTTTTTTTAAGCTAAATTTGTGTCTGATGTGCCTGTGGTTTACAGTGCTGTGTGTTGTGCAGTTCAGAGTCGCATTTGTCTGTGTGTGGATGTCTTTGCATACCATCACAGTTCCTGGCAGCTCAGTTTCCCCTGGATCCCGCCTTCTCTGCTCTCCTGCATTTTCACAATAGGCTCAGAGTTATTTTTTATAGTGTTTTGCTAGTTTGCTTCAGTCATTTCTATTCCACATATGAGAGACAAATTCTGGTAACTGTGTTTTACGTTCTACCTTATTCCACCCCACCTCATCACCTGAGTGCATTTGCTTTCACTTTTTTTGTGTGTGTGCTTTTTGGGTCACACCTGGCGATGCACAGGGGTTACTCCTGGCTCTACACTCAGGAATTACCCCTGGCGGTGCTCAGGGGACCATGTGGGATGCTGGGAATTGAACCTGGGTCAGCTGTGTGCAAGGCAAACGCCCTACCCGCTGTGCTATTGCTCCAGCGCCCATTTAATTTCATTTTGGAAAAAAAAAATATCACTGAGCAGTTTTCTATGAGTATATAGACATCACATTTCCTTGCAACCCCAATGGCAAGGGAAACAAAAGCAAAAGATCCCAAGGGCCCCCAGGGCCAACAAAGCACCAGGGTCCTTTCACAGGCACTTGGGCATGGACATTTGCATGTGAAAGTTGATACTTGTCCCATGACAGGGATTTTGCTGGGCGAATTCCCTTGTGAGTCACAGTTCCTGGTAGCAGGGAGGATACGATGTTTGATAAAATCATTGTTCAGGTCCTATGTGTCACCCAGTTGGCCTTCCCAGCTCAGTGCCTTTATTTTCTTCTAGGTCTGTGCCACACTTGGCACCACCGGGGTCTGTGCGTTTGACTGCCTGGCAGAGCTGGGCCCTATTTGTAAGTGCCGGAGTTCACCTGAGCGGGGAGGCAAGAAACACCTTTCAAAAAATAGCCCCCTGAGTGGGTAGTGGGTAGGGAGTTTGCCTTGCACGTGGGCTGACCCAGGTTTGATTCCCAGCATCGCATATGGTCCCCTGAGCACCGCCCAGAGTGATTCCTGAGTGCAGAGTCAGGAGTAACCCCTGAGCATTGCTGGATATGACCCAGAAAGAAAAACAAAACAAAACAAACAAAAACAAAACCAAAACGGCTCCTAGAGCCAGAAGTTGAAACTAGCCCTGTGGAACCTTCTCCCCTTCCTTGGTTCCCACAGAGTAGGGGAGGAATCCATAGAGGTGATGGCCCTTCTCTCAGCCCCAGTTGCACCGTGCCTTTCCCCATGGCCCCCACTTAGAGCAGCTCCCCCGCCCCCAAACAAGGGCACAGAAGCCTGGGAGTGACTCTGGAGCACAGGTTCAGAGAAGGATTCGAGCAGGGCATCAGAAACCATGGCAGCTGGGGCTGAGAGTACAGAGGGTGTGGGGTGGGAGAGGGGACAAGGGGCAGAACAGAAACCCAAACGGGATGGTTCAGCTCCCCCAAGCAACCTGGCCAGAGGTGGGCTAAGGACAGCAGTGGATGGGGGGCGGCAGAGCGGACTGTCGGTGATGGGATGCACTAAACTTGGACACTGTTCTAACCATGTCACTTCAACTATAATAAAACCAAAACCAAAACAACCCCTATTCGAGAAACCTGTTAGGAATGAGAGACAATGGCCTTACTCATGTTTCCATTATTGGTGTTACTGCTGCTCTCCGGGCCAATGTGAAGTTGCTTTTATTTTAGTGCCCGAATGTTCTAGGTGGAAGCTAGTGTGTGTGTGTGTGTGTGTGTGTGTGTGTGTGTGTGTGTGTGTGTGTGTAGTGGTCCCCAAGGCAGCTTTTATTTTAGGGCCTCCTTCAGTCCCACTCTTCACCCCGACATTCAGATGAAGCCCCCCACCCCCCAGCTAGGTGGGAGACGCCTCTGAGCTGGCAGGTGGCCCCCGCAGTCCTGCCTCTTGTATCTGTCCCCAGGTGCCCGCGAGGGGCTGTGGCTCCACACGGATGCTGCCTACGCGGGCTCAGCCTTCCTGTGCCCCGAGTTTCGGGGCTTTCTGGAGGGCATCGAGTACGCGGACTCCTTCGCCTTCAATCCTTCCAAGTGGATGATGGTGCATTTCGACTGCACCGGCTTCTGGTGAGTGAGTGTTGGCTGGCTGGGGTCCGGCAGCTTCCCGTGGGACCTCAGCCACTGATGCCCGGTTTGGAAACCCACAGGGTCAAGGACAAGTACAAGCTGCAGCAGACCTTCAGCGTGAACCCCGTCTACCTCAGGCACGCCAACTCGGGCGTGGCCACCGACTTCATGGTGAGTGGCTGGGACAACGCAGCTCAGGGCTCGCTCCCGGAGGGGCTGGGGGACGAAGCTCAAAGCTCGATCTCTTGCATGCAGAGCAGCTCAGCTCATTGACCATCTCTCTGGCCTCCCTGCCTCTTCTTTTTAATATGCTGGTGAAATAAAGTAGCCACTGGACCACAAACTGTCAGGAAAACAGAATGTGTTTTTTTTTTTTCTGGAAAAGATCCCTGTTATCTATTCTTTCCCGAAGTAGCCATCTACGATGGAGCAAGTTGACGCTTGTCCCATGACAGGGCTTTTGTCCTGTGTCCTGTTTGGATGCCCTCTGCTGGTAGATGGAAGTCCGAGCAAAGGGCTGCTTTGCTGGAAATCAAAGACGCAGTTCCAGTGTGAGGTGGGAGGAACCTTGCATTCCTCAGAGGGGATGGAAACTGGTGAAGCCTGAAGGCGAACACACTGCTGAGGATTTATTTCAGTCAGTTGAAGCCATGCTAGGAGCTTCCTGACATTTGCACAAGAGGTCATTCGAACACACCTCACCGAGCAGAATGCAGCCAATTATTTCTTTTCTTTTTGGGTCACATCCGGTGGTGCTCAGGGGTTACTCCTGGCTCTGCCCTCAGCAGTTATTCCTGGTGGTGCTTGGAGGACCATATGGAATGCTGAGGATTGAACCCAGGTAGGACGCATGCTCGGCAAACACCCCACCTGCTGTGCTATCGCTCTGGCTCCCAGAGCAGTCAATGTTTTCCAGAGTCTTGACTGTATTTTCAGATCCAAGAAATTGGACTGAAAATGTTCTGATGTGGGCTGGAGTGACAGTACAGTGGGTAAGGTGCTTCCCTTGCACGTGGTCTACCTGAGTTCGATCTCTGCCATCCATATGGTCTCCAGAGCACCACCAGATGTGATTCTTGAGTGTAGAGCCAGGAGTAACCTCTGAGCACCTGGTGTGTCCTCAAACCCATCTGAAGGTGGTAGCGATGTCTCCAGAGCACAGGGGATGCCACAGGAAGATGCCAGAAGCTGAGCAGAGACCTGGGTTCCAGGTCAGAATGCAGCTCTGGCCTGCAAGTCTGCCGTTTTCTGGCATCTTAATGTCTGGCCCTTACTGACTGCCACTTGCCTCTGTTGATGCTTTGGGGAGGCTTTTGTTCCCCTTCTCATGAGGAGCTGGTGAGGTGCCCCATTGGGTTGAAGCCTGGAAGTGGCAGAGGGGTGGTGAAACCCAGATCAGCAGTGTCTGAGCTCTTGACTACATGTCACTTGACTGCTTGGGTAGGAATAGTAGTATTTATTGTTATTTATATAACTTTTGGGGTGGGGGGGGCTGATCCAGTGGTGCTCAGGGGCCATGCCTGGTGGTGCTCATATGTGGTACCTGGTCTCAGCTGAAGCTGTGTGCTAGGCAAATGCCTTAATAACCTCCCATGCAGAACTTCAGTTTTGCTTTGCAAGTTCCTTAGATTCTTTTTAGAAAAAAAATCAGTATTTGGTGGGGGGTGGAGAGATAGTACACAGTTAAGGCACTTGCCTTGCATGTGGCCAACCTGGGTTCAATCCCCAGAACCACATAGGTATCACCCACCAGGAGTGATCCCTGAGCATAGAGTCAGGAGAAGGCCCTGGAGCATGGATGCTGAGTGTGGCATCACCCCCTCTCCGCCCCACCCTCGGCGCCTTACTTTGTATTTAAGCCTGGAATTAATGTTTCAAGTGACATTTAAAGCAAAGAGAACTGCCCGAGCCCCGGTTTCAAGCCACGGACTTAGTTTCCAATTGTCCTACACTGAAGAGAGCCTCTGGCCACCGTCACCATGGGTGTCCCCAGCGGGTAACTGGCTTCACCTTACCCAAGCATCGCAGTCATGGAGACGCTGGTCCTCCCTGGAGACCCTCGGGGCCACTCGGCTGTGGCTGCGGGCCGGCGGGGCGAGGGGGCGGCGCCCTTTCCTGCTGTCTAACCTGAGCTCTGTCTGTCCCCTCGCCCAGCACTGGCAGATCCCCCTGAGCCGGCGCTTCCGCTCCATAAAGCTCTGGTTCGTGATTCGCTCCTTCGGGGTGAAGAATCTGCAGGCGCACATCAGACATGTAGGTACCGGGAGGAGCCGGCCTGGTCTGCGTCCTGGCGGGAGGCGCGGGGCTCCGGGGACCGAGGCGCTGGGCGCAGGTGGCTGCGCTCATTTGCGGGCTCCTGGGGCTTTATTATTCAGGGCAGCCGCCTCTTTGTTAGCCGGGAACCCTGAACAGAGGCTGGCGCCAAGGTTCCTGCAGAGGCTTCCACCATTCCTTTTGCTGTAATTCAACATTTAAAGAAAATTTTGATATGCTTAATTATTGTGAATAACAAAGTTACTCATCACTTAGTGTCAGGCACACAACGTTCCAATCCCTTCACCCTTCACCAATGTCCACTTCAGTTCTCCAATGTTGATTTCCCTCGCCTCTCCCTGTCCCACCTCCCTTTATGACAGGCATTTTGTTCTTTTTCTTTTTTCTCCCCCTTTCCCCTTTTAAGCTCTGTGATTTACCATACTGTTACTGATGGATATCATATATGTCACTTTTCCTCCTTACAGCACCTTGTGTTAGTCCAGAGTGACCTCTTCCCTCTGTCATTGTCATAGTGGTCCCTTCCCAGAGCTATTCACCTTCCAGCCTTATCCTTTGCTGTCCTGGGATACTGAGTCCCATAGCAGCCCCAGAGTCTAGTTTGCAGAGAGAGGGAGAGAGGGAGAGAGGGTGAGAGAGAGAGAGAAAGAAAGAGAGAGAGAGGTGATTCCTCTCTCTTCAAATTTGTACAACGCCACGGACAAATTATCGTGCCAGAAAAAGGAACCAGAGGTAAAGTTTCTGATACTGATGTATGATGCTACTGCACTCTCCAGAGTGGCTGTGACCTGCCACCACTGTACTGGATAATGCCTTTTTAAATTTTTGTGTATTTGATTTTTGTCTCTATTCCTGGTAGTACTTAGGGGGCTGGGGATTGAATCCAGGGCTCCCACGTGCTAAGTATGTGCTCTGGCCCTTTGAGTCGTCATCTCCCTGGCTCTGCTCTGTTTCTTTGTTGGAATCACCATGATGGTCAGGCCTTTCTGGGACTCTGAATCACTTTTATGCTTAGGGTTGAGCTGAGGGCTGAGCTTAGGGCTGAACTCAGACAGAGCTATTGAGTGTGGAACCAACAGTGCCGCATTGTGTCAATATGTGTTTACTGGCTTTTTGGCACAAGTTATTTCAAATTTGTACAACTGTACTGTAGCACTGTAGCACTGTCCTCCCGTTGCTCTTTAGTTTGCTGGAGCAGGCCCAGTAGCGCCACTGACAAATTAGCATGCCAGAAAAGGAACCAGAGGCAAATATGTGGCCGGGAAGTTCCCTGTTGTGGTGTGTGTGTGAGTGTGTGTGTGTTTGTTCGTGTGTGTAGACACTTTATTTTATCTTCTAAAGTTGTTTGTAATGATTTATTACATTCAATATTCCAACACCATTTCACCATTCCACTACCATTATTTCAAATTTTCCCACCACTACCCAAGCCAGCCCCCAAAGAAGGTCCTAAATAAGCTATTTTGTATTGCTTGTTGTGAAAATCTGCTAAAAATGATCCAACAATTTTTTTCTCAAATGTACATATTTTTATATGCAAAATATATGTCTTTTTTATATTTTTTACCTGGCAGTGAATTTGCTGGACCTACACCTGACTCTGTGGTCAGGGGTCACTTCTGGCTGGGCTCAGGAGAACATATGTGGTTCTGGGGACCAAACCTGGGCCAGCTGTATGCAAGATAAGCACCATACCTACAATATTTTGCTTTAGCCCCAATACTTTATATATATGTATATATCACTTGATCCTGTTACTCAATGATTTGCTTGAGCGGGTGCCAGTAACATCTCCATTTGTCCCTGTCGTGTGCTAGTGTAGCCCAATGGCATCTGCTCACTCCGGTAACAAACCGATCGTTCAGAGTCTTGACGAAGAAGTCTGACCATCTCATAGGTGGGCGGCCACGCAATCTTTTAATGTCCCGTGGAATCCAGTTGGTAACGGCTCTAGTCCAGCGGTTGTCTCCAAATTGCATTACGTGTCCATCCCATTTGGTTTTCAATGCCTTGGCGAATGAGACAGCCTCCCTGATTCTTGATCATTGATGGAGGTCAGAACTCTGGATTCTTTCTCTCACTTGAGTGAAGCGTGATACTCCAAGCATAGCTCTTTTGATTCCTCTTTGGGAGACCCGAATAGCGTTCTCATCCTGTTTTCGTAGGGCCCAGGTCTCTGAGGCATATGTTAATGCAGAAAGAACCGTGGAGTTGAAGAGATGTGCCCAGAATCGGAGGTTCTTCATCCTCTTAGCTATTTCTTTGACACTATTGAAGGCGTTCTATGCCACTCTCTTCCTCCTGCACAACTAAGTGCCAGGTCATTCATCATGTTGAGTTCTTGACTAGGTGCACATAACTGCTGCATTTGGAGATGTTCATTCCATTGAGAGCAAACGGAATGTCAGGAACAAGTCCGTTTCTCATGAACATTGTCTTTGTGAGATTCAGCTGCATTCCAACCTTTCCACCCTCACTGTCGAAGTCGGCCAGCATTTGTGCCTCTTGGCTAATGTTTGGTGTTACAGAATGATGTCATCAGTGAAGGGGATGTGGTGTAGTTGCCGACTGTCTATCTTTACTCCAATTCCTTCCCATTCTAGTAGTTGCATTACCTTCTCGAGGGTAGCACTGAAGAGTTTCAGTGAAATGGTATCACCCTGCCGAACCTCTCTCTTTACATCGATGATCATTTCATTGTAGAATGGTGAGATCCTGGTGGTGAATCTGTAATACAGCTCATGGAGGATCCTGATTATTGAGTTTGAGCGCTCTGTTTGGCTAGGGCTTTGATGACAGCTTTAGTCTTAACAGAATCAAAGGTCTTCTTTAAATCAATGAAAGTTAGACAGAGCAGCATCTTGAACTCCCAAGAAACCTCAATGAGCTAGGTTACCATGTGGATATGGTCGATCTGTTGAATTCTTTTCGGAACCCGGTTTGCTCGCATGGTTGTCCTTCATCTAGTGTTCTGCCAATCCTATTCAGATGTATATATGCATATATATCTTATTTTTGGGGCCACACCCAGCATTGCTCAGGGGTGATCCCTAGCAGTGATGAGGGTTTGAACCTGGGTTTGCTGCATGCAAGCCAAGTGTCTTAATGCCTGTGCTCTCTCTGAGCACATCCTATTCTTCACCCAGGAGGGGAGATTAACTCAGCACTTGGTCCTGCAGTATTTTCTCTCATTTCATGCGAGTTTTTGCGAGTGATAAGCCAAATACCCAAGCAGCACAGGAGAAGGCAGGAAATAGTTCAGTATTAGAGCACTTGCATGTATGAGGCCTTAGAATTGATTCTTGGCACGAAACACCAAATCAAACATTCCCCCCCCCCCCCCGCAAATCACCACACAACATGAAAAATCTAAAGGCACGTCCTTTCTTTCTGTGTGTGCCCTCTCGTCCCCACCTCCGCTCTTGGGGGCTCCCTGTCCAGACAAGCACAGCACAAAGGGAAACGGCTGACACAGGGGCTCTGACTGGTCTGCGCTTGCAAGGTGAAGTGTATCATCAGTGCATTTACCAGTCAGGCACTGCCCTTTCTCCCATGTGCAGACTGCGGGGGTGGAGGCTGGGAATGAAGTGGTGGAAGTGAGGGATCAACGGTAAGACTCTTTTGCTAGGACACAGAAGTGAATATGCAGTGTGCAGATTCTGAATCCTGCCTTTTACAAGTCAAATCCCTGAGCGCCCATCTGCCTGCCCTCCCTGTGGAGGGTCATCTTGCAGGGTCTGGCTTCCAAGGACGTGGCTCTTAGTCTCTGCTTTAGCTAAGGCTTTGGAATGGCCCAGTTAAACTCCATCCCCAAAGATCAGGGATGTGACTCAGTGGTAGAGCACTTACTTATGTCTGAGCGTCTGGGTTTGATCCATAGTGCACGTGCTCGCACACACACACACACACACACACACACACACACACACACACTCACACACAGATCAAACTTCATCCTTAGGAGCCAGAGAGACCGTGAAGGGGGGTTGGGGCTTGTCTTGCATGCAGTGAATCTTGTTTTGATTCCTCTGACATTGCACATGGTCTCTGAGCCTTGTTGGGAGCGAGCCCTGAGCTCAGTGCCAGGAGTGAACCCTGAGCACAGCTGGATATGGTCAAAATGAAAATATAAACGACAAACTCTCTCCCCAGTTTACTTCTTTGCTGTCCCCTCTCTGTCCCCTATGTATCCCTGTTCTGGGTGGCTCTCCCTTCTTCAAATGTTAAAAGATTCATTCCTGCTTCTTGGTGCTTCCATCTGTTCTAGTTTCTGCTTCCTTGACATTCTTGGGAAAGTCTAATTAAGTATACTTACGAAACTGAGTTCGAATCCACGGTCCACTAAAATGAAGTTGTTTGATGTAAGTTTGAGGGCTTCAGTTGAATAGCATAGCATGACAACACTAGCATTTATGTCTGAAAAAAATTTTTAAGTGGTGTTTGTTTCAATAGATCTTACAGCAATGCTTGGGACAGTTGCCTTCATCAGTCTCATTTTATGCATTTTATTGGTGAGGGCCAGAGATGTCATTTTCCCTGCTCTTAAGCGGAAAGCCTCTTTTTTTTCTCTTCTGGGAACCACCCTTAGAAGTGCTTGGAGTAAGTGTTTAGTGACTGCATGCTTCTGGAGCTCAAATTCAGAGCCTTGTGCCTGCTACCACTTGAGCCATCTCACAGACTCCAGAAGGGCTTCTTTCTTCATTGATCGAAATTTATTCCTTCTGGTCTCTGGAAGGTTATATAAAAACAAGTTTTGTATGTTTCTCTTAAGGAGTCATGCTTTAGAGAATGGGAATATGGATTAAACTTTTAGCTCTATCCTTTACTATTGCATGACCTTGGACATTATTACTCACCCTTTCTTGTTTTTTTTCCCGCTTTTTGGGTCACACTCAGTGATGCACAGGGGTTACTCCTGGCTTATGCACTCAGGAATTACTCCTGGCAGTGCTTGGGTGATGTTGGGAATCGAACCTGGATTGGCCACGTGTAAGGCAAATGCTCTAAACACTGTGCTATCACTCCAGTCAGCCCTTACTCCCCCTTTTTTTCATTGCCTGCCTAATCTATAAAATGAGTAATTGAGACCGACTCTCCCAAATGTGTATGATATGATTAAATCTAATATATGATTAAAGGTAACATATGTAACGTTGTTAGTCTAGGACCCCCCCCCCCCCAAACACACACACACACACACACTGGACTAAGCACTCAGTGACTCCCTTACTCCTTTCTCCTCCTTTTTCTTTTGATGATAATTGCCATCATGTGGTCACCATTTTAACCACCACCACCACCAACATCATCATCATCATCATCTCCTGATCATCACCATCATATCCTAAAACAGGAATCTGTACCCTTTTCTTTTTCTGTAAAAGACATAGTAAATAATTTGGCCATTGGAAGGTAGATAAAACCACTAAAGTTCCTCAATGCTGATATTGTGGTGCCAATGCCAATGACAATATTTACAATGCCTGAGCAAACAGACATGGGTGCTAGTGCCAGGGAACCTTGTATACAGAAACAGTTGGGGAGGGACTGTATTTGTCCTATATACTGCAGTTTGCCCACCCTGGGCAGCAATGGGACAAGGCACTGGTCACAACACTGCTTTGCCCTCCCCCACAGATGGCTGAGATGCTGGTGGTGCTGTATGTTTCTCTCTTCCCAAATCTTGCTTCTCTCTTGTTGCAAATAATGTGTTCGAGAGAGGCAGTGAAACCTGGGGGAGGAGTTATTGACCATGACAACAAAGATGGTGTATTTAATCACCAGTCCCTTGAGTCCATCACTCTCCCTGGCTTTCCTAGAAAACAAACCCGGACTGAACATAGATGCCTTCTGGGTTGCTTCCCTTGCATAACAGTATCTGTTTCATGGATTTTAACTGGCCTGACTATAGGTCTTTAGCTGAGATGTCTTTATGGTGCTTATGTAGACGGAAGAAAAATCTACTAAAAAATGCACCAAAATTGGTAGGGCAGGTAGGTAGAAATAGGTCAGAAAGGAAGGAGATATAGGGAAGAATCAAATCTAAATTAGAAAACAAGCTACAAAAATGCAAACAGCTAGTCAACATTTAATGGTCTTCCCCTGAGAAAGAGCCTTTGGACTTGAACACTAAAAGTTCTCAGGGCAGCGACTGTAGGTCACGAAAACAGGGTCTGGGGTGGGAGAGATGGCTTATGTGCCTGGGAACTGCCTTGTAGGCAGGACCCCTGGGTTCTGTCCCTGGCACAGCAGTCTCCTGAGCACCCTGCAAGGAGTAGTCCCTGAACACTAGTGATAGTGATCCCAAAACAAAACAAAAAGGTGGGGGTATCTGGATGAATCTTGCTTGTTTGCTGATGTTTAGTCTGAGGAATTGAACCCGGGACCTCATGTATGCAAAATATGTGCTCTACCTGCTACTGAGCTATATCCTTGACCCCTGAATGAGTTTGTACCAAACTTTTTCCATCACAGCATGACTAACTGAGTCCCTGACTGTTCTTGAAGTAGGAGAGTGGGTGTGAGATCCAAGTGATGACAGGGACTTCACAGATATTTTATTGAGCTCCTGCTGGCTGATTGAAAAATGTTGTTTGAAATGAAAGAAAAGGTAAATTCTTTCCTTGTTTAGTTAATCACGATCACAATCATCCTGTTGTTCGTCGATTGTCTCGAGCAGGCACCAGTAACGTCTCCTTCTACCTAGCCCTGAGATTTTATTTTATTTTTCTTTATTTTTCTTTTCTTTTTATCCAAAGGAATTTTTATTTGTTTTAGGCCAAACTTTTTAAAAAAATGTTTATTTATTGAATCACTGTGGGAAAAGTTACAAAATTTTCAGGTTTAAGTCTTGGTCATGCAATGATCAAACACCTTTCCCTTCGCCAGTACTTATTTACCCTGAGATTTTAAAAGAGCCATTCCAATGCTCTTTCAGGATTAGGAGGATGAGACCCATCATTGTTACTGGTATTTGGCATATTGAGTACGACACGGGAAGTTTGCCAGACTCTGCCGTGCGGGCAGAATACTTTTTGTAGCCTGCCAGGTTCTCCAAAGGAAAAAATAAGATAATAAGATGTCGCGCGGCCGCATTTGCGACCGTGCACTTCCGGGAGCTGGGTTTTATAGTCTCTGAGTCTTGGCCGTTGATGGGACCAACCTGGCGCTGGCGGTAGCTGGTGGGTGTGACGCCTACCTACTGGAAGATGGGGGGTTTGGGTGGAGAAGGCCCAGTCCCAATCCGAGTAGGCTTGGAGACCTCAGCCCCGGGACCCGCATGCCTGGGTTCCTCTGCCAGTTCTTTCATGCATGAGACCTGTCCGGACGTGTGGAGAGTGGTCCCAGCATGGCTGTGGCTGGCTCTGGGGTCCTCAGCTGCTGGGGCTCTGCTCAGGGCGGGGGAAGGGAGGAGAGAAACTTAACCCTCCCCCCTCCAAGGGGCCCCGGTGAGGACAGCCAGGCGCGGGGTCAGGAGACTCTGCTTAGTTAATATATCTAGAAAAAAGAAAGCGTGGCTGAAAATTTAAAACGACAAACTTCAGTGAAAGCTAAACATGATATAAAGTTTTGAACATGTTAATATGCTAAAATTACATTGTCTAAAATTTACCACCAGCTATTTTGGGGGAGGAGGTCGGGGTCACACCTGGTGATGTTCAGGGGTCATTTCTGGCTGTGTTCATGGGGAGCTGCTGGGGCTTGAACTGGGGTTAGTCTCAGGCAGGGCAATTGTCTTAACTCCTGTGCTATCTCCCAGGACACCCACTTTTAAGTGTTTACTTCAGTGGCATTAAGTACATGCACTGAGCCTGCCACCATCACTACTATCTACACTTTTTCCATGATCACAAACAGAAGCTCAGACCCCATTAACCCAGTGCAAGTATCCTCTATAGTATGTCTATAGGGAAGCTACATAAAAAATATTCTCCATGGAGGGGCTGGAGTGATAGCACAGCAGGTAGGGCATTTGCCTTGCATGTGACCGACCCGGGTTCAATTCCCAGCATCCCATATGGTCCTCCAAGCACCGCCAGGAGTAATTCCTGAGTGCAGAGCCAGGAGTAACCCCTGTGCATCGCTGGGTGTGACCCAAAAAGTGATATATATATATATATATATATATATATATATATATATATATATCACAAGATCACAAGCATCCTGTTGTTCGTCGATTTCCTCAAGCAGGCACCAGTAACGTCTTCTTCTTCCTAGCCCTGAGATTTTATTTTTTATTTATTTATTTATTTATTTATTGCTTTTTGGGTCACACCTGACGATGCACAGGGGTTCCTCCTGGCTCTGCACTCAGGAACCACCCCAGTCGGTGCTCAGGGGACCATATGGGATGCTGGGAATCGAACCTGGGTCGGCCGTGTGCAGGGCAAACGCCCTCCCTGCTGTGCTATCATTCCAGCCCCCCTAGCCCTGAGATTTTAAAAGAGCCATTTCAATGCTCTTTCAGGATTAGGAGAATTAAATCCATCATTGTTACTGGTATTTAGCATATAGAGTACGACACGGGAAGTTTGCCAGACTCTGCCGGTGTGGGCCGGATACTTTTGGTAGCCTGCCAGGTTCTCCAAAGGAAAAAATAAGATAATAAGATGTCGCGCGGCCGCATTTGCGACCGTGTGCTTCCGGGAGCTGGATTTTTATTGTCTCTGCGTCTTGGCCATTGATGAGACCAACCTGGCGCTGGCAGCAGCTGGTGGGTACGATGCCTACCTACTGGAAGATGGGGGGGGGTCTGGTTGGAGAAGGCCCAGTTCCAATCCGAGTGGCTTGGAGACCTCAGCCCCGGGACCTGCATGCCTGGGTTTCTCTGCCAGTTCTTTCCCTCCTGTTGATCGTCGATTTGCTCGAGTGGGCCCAGTAACGTCTCCATTGGAGACTTTGTTGTTACTGTGTCTGGCATATCGAATACTCTCGGTAGCTTGCCGGGCTCTCCGAGAGGGGCGGAGGAATCGAACTTGGGTCGGCCATGTTGGCCGCGTGCAAGGCGAACGCCCTACCCGCTGTGCTATATATTCCATGGAAAGTCAGAACAGAAGGGGATGGTATGATATTGGATGTCCAAGATGTGCAGAAGTCCACAAGTCAAGGCTCAGGCTCAGCCTGGATCGGAGCGGTGCTGCTCAAGGTCCACCTGGCACATGTGAAACAAGGGTGTCTTCCGCTGGGCAGTCGTGGCCTGTACGAGTTATTTGGTTGAAAGCACAGAACATGCTTGGGTTTGGTCTCTGACTTACCCCCTTGACCAGTCAAGACGCTGTGAAGTGGGGCGGCGAGAGCTTCATGGGCTCAATGCATGCTTTGATCATCGACCCACAGGATCCCCGAAGCACAGCCAGGAACAATCCCCAAGCACGAAGCCCAGAATAGCCTCTCAGCTTCGCTGGGGGTGACTGAAAGTAAAAATAAAGAAGCTGCGAAGTGAGGAAGGGAGACCAAACTGCATTTTGGGCAGAGCACAGGCCTTCTGGGATGACTTGAAGGGAAACTCTCAGACGTACGAACTCAAATGAATCCAGTGTGACAGGAAACAAGAAACCACTGGCATTTTTTCTTCATGACCTATGACTAAAACTCATTTGGAGAGGAAAACCATGCGGTGGCCACAGGAAGTTCCAGTGACTCTCCCACTTCATGAGTCTCTGCAGTACGAAAATCCATGTGGAGTTGTGCCATGGTTGCTATTAATTGACGTTTTCTCCATCTTTATCATTTTAGGGCACTGAAATGGCTCAATACTTCGAATCTCTAGTCAGAAATGAACCTTTCTTTGAAATTCCTGCCCAGAGGCACCTTGGCCTGGTGGTTTTTCGTCTAAAGGTAATGCCATCTCCTGTGGCCTGTGAGTGATGTTATTTGGCCTGTCAGTGGCATTTAGCCTCTTGGAAACAAAAGTGTTGGGTTTGGGGGGGAGGTCTGTAGAGGGAATGTAGACGGGGGCGTGTGACACCGACCATCTTTCTCTTTATCCTTCCAACAGGGTCCCAATTGTCTCACAGACCGTGTGTTAAAGGAGATAAACAAAACTGGCCGCCTCTTCCTCATCCCAGCCACCATTCAGGACAAGCTTATCATCCGTTTCACTGTGACCTCCCAGTTCACTACCAGGGATGACATCCTGAGGGACTGGAATCTCATTCGTGATGCTGCCTCACTCATCCTGAGCCAGCATTGTACCTCTCAGCCGAGCCCTCAGGGTGGGAACCTCATCCCCCAAACCTGGGGCCCCCAAGCTCTGGCCGATGGAACGCCCCTTCAGTCTGTCAGTGGGGCAGGGGATGTCCCAGCTGAGGCCGGGAAGATCAGCCAGCAGCCTCAGCGTGTGGGAATGGGGCCCATGAGGAGGGAAGGTGTTGGCCGTCTTGAAAGCCTGCTGGACCCCCTGGACGACTGCTTTTATGAAGAGGCTCCAGATGTGGCCAAGCACAAGCTGTCCTCCTTCCTGTTTAGTTATGTATCTGTGCAGAACAAGAAGAAGACGGTGCGCTCCCTCAGCTGCAACAGCGTGCCCGTGAGCGCCCAGAGGCTGCTCTCCTCAGAGAGTGCTGCCAAGAACGGGGGTTCCTCCCGGCTCTGCCTCTTCTCTCGCTTTCCCGAAGAGATGATGATGCTGAAGAAAAGTGCCTTCAAAAAACTAATCAAGTTCTACAGCGTCCCCAGCTTTCCGGAATGCAGTTCCCAGTGTGGCCTCCAGCTGCCCTGCTGTCCCCTGCAGGCCCTGGTTTAGAGCAGAGCCCTCGGCTCCGCCTGGCTGCCTCTCACTGCCTGTTGCTGAATTTGTGTGCTTCTGTTGTTTGTGCTTTTTTTCCCCTTGGGACAGAGTCCAGAATTTCTATCAGGTTTTCATGGGGTTCATGATAGTGCCAGTGGGGACCATAAGCCAGCCTGTTCCACAGGTGGTCTGGTGAGATAGGGTAGCAAACCGACAGGCAGCTTCTGTGGCTTAGTTTATGACATGAAGTATCATGTAGAAATAAAATGTGCTTGTCTCTGAAAAAGACTCATCTCTGGTGTGACTTAATTAACCATGGGAATATGCCTTAAGTAACCAGGGTGTGTGTTTTGGAAGACTCCAAACTGTACGTGTTTATGGCTTCTGCTTTTTCAGGATGTGATAGATATTCATTTACCTCTGAAAAATGTGTCTTTGGAGGAGACCATGATATGAATTAGGCACCGTGGCTTACAGTTTAGAGACAAGGAAGCTGAGGTCCAGGCCACACAGCTGGTAAGGGAGCCAACCCAGGACTCCAGTCTTCAGAGAATCCGCTGTTATTCTCACAGTCCTTCAGTGTTTGGTGGATGTGCTAGACCAGAAAACCACAGTCCAGCAGACACCTCTGATCCTTTAATTCATTGTCATGTTTCCTCTCCAGGTTTGAAATCTCTATAGCGCCCCCTTTTATTGGACCCTAGAGTCAAAACCCTACGCACTGCACTGTAGCACTGTCCTGCCGTTGTTCATTGATTTGCTCGAGCGGGCACCAGAAATGTCTCCATTGTGAGATTTGTTGTTCCTGTTTTTGGCATATCAGATATGCCATGGGGAGCTTGCCAGGCTCTGCCGTGTGGGCGGGATACTCTCGGTAGCTTGCCGGGTTCTCTGAGAGGGATGGAGACATTGAACCCGGGTCTGCCGCATGCAAGGCAAACGCCCTACCCGCTGTGCTATCACTCCAGCCCCCTATGTACTACAATAACAAAATAATTACTGTAGACTAGCTAGAAGTCCTGAAGAAGACTCTGACTTCCTTCTAGGGATCACAGCAGTCACCTTTCCTTAAGGGACTGACCTGATTTTCTAGATAAAAGCTTTAAAAGTTCCATCTCTGTGGGGCTGGAGAGGTAGTCCAGGAGGACTACCTCTTTCTTCAGGTGCTGCTGCAGTGCCAGAAGCCCTGGATTGAGTCCTCTAAAAAAACATTTTTTTGAGCCAGGAATAGGCTGTGAGCACTACTGGGTGTGGCTCCCTTCTAAAAAGGTGTTCTATCTTTGTTTTGGTACTCATATTGGAGTATAAAGAGACAAAGAAACGGATTTGACAACTCCCAAATGGAAACAAATCCTGAGATGGGGTCTACAGAATTGGGAGCTGAAGGGAAGAGGAAGGGCCTGTGGAATGATGATGAAGAGATCTTGAAACACAGGTGGAGGGACTGGTGTGGTAGCAACTATAACAACTTCAATACTGCTGTGAACTGTGATACATCACGGTCACGGTCCTCCCGTTGTTCATCAATTTGCTCGAGCAGGCCCAGTAATGTCTCCATCGTGAGACTTGTTGTTACTGTGTTTGGCATATAGAATACGTCACGGGTAGCTTGCCAGGCTCTGCCGTGTGGGCGAGATACTCTCGGTAGCTTGCCGGGCTCTCCGAGAGGGGCGGAGGAATCGAACTCGGGTCGGCCATATTGGCTGTGTGCAAGGCAAACGCCCTATCACTGTGCTATCGCTCCAGCCCCAGTGATACATCAATTAAAGAAAAAGAAATAAATAAGTGGAATAGGTTTTCTTTTTTAAAATATTAAGAGAATAAATTAATAATGGCAATAATTTTATTTATTTATTTATTTATTTATTTCGTTTTTTTAGGTCATCTGGCGATCCTCAGAGGCTACTTCTGACTCTGCACTCAGAAATTACTCCTGGTGGTACTCAGGGACCATATGGGATGCTGGGGATCAAACCCCAGTTGGCTGCATGCAAGTCAATGCCCTACCCACTGTACTATTGTTCTGGCCCTGGCAATAATTTTTTAAAGAAGTTCCATCTTTGGGGTCAGAGATGAGCTGGAGCATATGCTTTGCATGTCAGAGGCCTGGCTTCTATTCCTGACTACATGGGTTCCCTGAGCAACACCCGAGCATTGCGGGTTTGGCTCCACAGTAAAGACAGAACAAAGCAAAAGTCTTTGTCACAGACTTGAGTTTCTCTTTGATATAGGGACATAACCTGTAAATGCTTGTAAAGTGTATTTAACCTGTCTCTCAAGGTGGGCTGCTGAACTTGCCTAGTCTGACCCCTTTTTATACTGATTCTCATTAACTTCAGATGCTGACATTTCCTAATTCACCCCTCAAATATTTTGGTGCTTCTAACATCTTATCTTTACACCAATGAGTGTTTTTTTTTTTAAAAAAACATTTCATTTCATTTCATTTCATCATCCTGTTAATCGTCGATTGCCTCGAGCAGGCCCCAGTAACGTCTCTTTCATCCTAGCCCTGAGATTATATTCACGGCTCTTTAGGAGAATGAGACCCATCATTGTTACTGGTATTTGGCATATTTGGTACGCCACGGGGAGTTTGCCAGACTCTGCCCTGTGGGCAGGCTACATTCGATAGCCTGCAAGTTTGTCCAAAGTAGGAATGAGATAATAAGATGTCATAAAAAAAGTTTTGATAAGATGTCGCGCGGCCGCAAATGTGGCCGCGTGGTTCTGGGATCTGCATTTTATAGTCTCTGAGTCTTGGCCGCTGATGGGATTACACGGCGCCAGGGGGCCAGGTGGTGGGTGTGACCCCCGCCTGCTGGAATTTGGAGGATCTGGATGGAAGAAGCTCGACTCCAATCCGAGTAGGCTTGGAGGTCTCGGCCCCGGAACCCGCGTGGCTTTGTCCCTCTGCCAGTACCTTCATGTGTCCCTCTGCCAGTACCTTCATGTTTAAAAAAACCACATAGATATAGGGGAACTGTTAAACAATTACCTGGATATCAGTTTATGTTTCTTAAAAAATTATTCATTTGCTATACCCAGCATCACATATGATTGTCCATGCATCACCAGGAATAATCCCTGGGCACAGAGTCAGAATGCAAAGCACCTGGATATGCTCTGGGCTCACTGCTGGTTGGGCTCAGGGGACCATATGTAGTGTGAGGGATCAAACCAGGGTCAACTGCATATAATGCAACCCCTGTACTCTCTCTTGGGCTCCAATCCTTTTGAAAGCAAGCAGTCGTTGAAGTTGGTTGTCTGTCACAGATCAGGACTGGCTTCTGTTCACACAGTGCCAATCCAGGTGCTAAGGATCATGTTTGATGCTTCTTCATGTTCAGGGATGCTCTAGTGGTTGGCCTGCATCACAGATGACTGGGGAAGTGGGTGACTGATGGGAGGAGGCTGAGGAAGCCATTCAAAGGGAGAATTTCTAAGGTGTTTTTTCTTTGTTCTTTTTTGGGTCACACCCAGTGATGCTCAGGGGTTACTCCTGGGGCTTTGCACTCGGGAATTACTCCTGGCAGTGCTCAGGGAACCAGAAGGGATGTTGAGGATTGAACCTGGATCAGCCGTGTGCAAGGCAAATGCCCTACTTACTTTATGATTGCTCTGGCTCCCGAATTTCTGAGTTTCTAAGGAGAAAGCTGAACATGTGAGTCAAAGGTGATCAGGCCCCAGCTGACTCTGGTTAATAGTACACACCGATCTCTGGCTCACTGTTGAAAACGCTGACCTCTCGTCCCCAAAAGATGTCCCTGGTGACACAGGGTCAATGGTGAGCCGTCACTGCTTTAATGTAACCTCTGCCTGAGTCCCTTCAACAAGATGCCAAGAAACTCACTAGCACATAATACTCTCAAAAACAAAGGTTGTACAAGCTCCCATCACTTGCTTTTGATTATCCCCAGATCAATATAGCAAAGACAGAGATACTTAGAATTCTGCCAAGCAAACATCTGCCAAGCTGATAATCACAAAGATACCGCATTGTGGCGTTTTCCTGAGATCATCCTCAAGTGCAAGTCCCTTACACATTAGAAGTGCCCAGGGTGAAAGCAGAGGGCACCTAAACGAGTGGAGAGTTTTAGGTAATTCTAGAACTGTGTCCAGGGCAGAGGTGGTGACCTCTCTCCAGGTTTGCCTGGAGCCTTTGAGGATTGACTTGGTGGAGATTTGGGGCTCCTGGCCAGCTCCTGGTCTTCTGAGGAAATCCTCTAGGGAGGAACTTCATCTGAGGATTGCCTCTAGGGAAGAAAGCTCCACTCGTAGGGAGGCTAGGGTGAGCTTGGGTCATATTTTCTGGATGTAGACGTCATAATCATGTTTCTGGGGCCTAAATTAGCACAAGTTCTAGGAAGAAACGTGCCATCGTGAATGTCCCCTGTTTCTGGAAACTCTGTGAATGGATGAAACATGTAGAGGTCAAGAAGTTGTGCCCAGGGTAGAGGCAGCAGTTAAATGAGATAAAGGCCACATTGGCAAATCCTCTGCACCATGCCGAAGGCCCGAGGAAACCCCAGAGTGAAACCTGCTGGTGTGGAGGCAAGAGATCTGCAACTTGTTTTGTAGATAGAATCACTCGGGGTGTGTGGAAGGAAACCTTTTTGAAAACCCCACATTTTAAGAACTGAGAAGATTCACAGAAATGCCTGTTTGTTTTTTTTTTTTTTTTGATTAATCGAAGACCCTGGGCAGTACTGAAGCTCTATTTCCACATGCTAAAAATCATCATGAAGTGGACCAGTGTCTTTCCACAAGTTCACCACCTTCATTTGTGCCCCATTTCTCTCAGTCACAGCACCAACCAGAGTAAACCCTGAAGATACTTCAAGATTCTTGAGATACTAACTGAGCACGTGTTATGTTGAGACTATAGGCTCATAGATTAATTTTTGGTCCCACCTGGTGAAGCTCAGGTCTTACTGCTGGGTCTGTGCCCAGAAATCATATTTGGTAGTCTCAGGAGATAATACAGGGATGCTGGGGATTGAACCTGGGTCAGCTATGTGCAAGGTAGCATTGTAGCACTGTCCTCCCATTGTTCACCAATTTGCTCAA